AGCTGAGTGGAGAGGAGATGGAGGAGAGCGAGGAGGAGGATGAAGAGGACGAGGAGGACGAGGACGAGGAGGATGATGAGGAATCAAAGGCTGGTGGGGAGGACCAGCTCTGGAGGCCCTACTATTCATACAAGCCTAAGCGCAAGGCCGGAGCTGCCAATGGTGGCGGTGGTGGAGGTAGTGGGATAACCAGAGGACGACGGCCACCACGCTGGAGGCAAAAGCTAGAACGGAGGGGCTGGGAGGAGAGCCCCACTGTGGAAAGCCCTGTAGGGCGTGTCCGTGGTGAGCGGAGGCACCGCTGTGGGGACTGTGCCCAGTCCTTTGCCACCCTGAGGAAGCTGCGAAAGCACCAGGAGGCCCACAGTGGGGGCTCCCACAGCTCTCGGGCTGGACGGAGGCCTTCCACCCGCTTCACCTGTCCCCACTGCTCAAAGGTGTGCAAAACGGCAGCTGCCCTGAGCCGCCATGGACAGAGGCATGCTGCTGAGCGGCCCGGAGGCACCCCCACACCTGTCATTGCCTATTCTAAGGGCAGCACTGGCACCAGGCCTGGGGATGTCAAGGAAGAGGCCCCCCAGGAGATGCAAGTGTCCTCATCAAGTGGGGAGGCAGGTGGTGGGAATGCTGCTGCTGAGGAAGCTTCTGAGATGGCCTCACTCCAGGACCCTGTCATCTCAGGGGGTGAGGAGCCCCCGGTAGCAGGAGGGGGCAGCTATGCATATCCCCCTGTGCAGGAATTTCCACTGGCTCTGATAGGGAGTGGCCGGGAACCAAGTGGAGGCAGAGGAAAACCTGGGAGTGAGGGGCTAGTGGGTGTTTCGGAAGGGGACCGGATAGAGGGGATGGGGGCTGCCAAAGTCACCTTCTACCCTGAGCCCTATCCACTTGTCTATGGCCCCCAGCTCCTTGCTGCCTACCCTTACAACTTCAGCAACTTGGCTGCTCTCCCAGTTGCTCTCAACATGGTCCTACCTGATGAAAAGGGTGGGGGAGCCCTTCCTTTCCTACCAGGGGTCTTTGGCTACGCAGTGAATCCTCAAGCAGCACCCCCTACTCCCCCAACTCCGCCTCCCCCAACTCTTCCTCCATCAGTTCCCCCTAAGGGAGAAGGGGAAAGGGCAGGGGTTGAGAGAAACCAGAAGGGAGATGTGGGGTGAGCTCTAGGGCCAGACCCCCCTTTCACCAGATGCCACCCTCCCTGAACCCCCTACCACTACCAGCTCCCTGGCTTCCTTGCCCTAGGGGTCCCGCCACACTCTTGTGCAGGGACTTGGGGGCCCCTGGAGCTCAGGAGTCAGGCTGCTTTGTGTGAGATTGTAGTTTTCCCATCTCCTGGGAAGGGATCTTTGGTGATTCCCCTCTCAATCTTCCTCCAGGGAATGGCCCCATGAGGGGCAGGGCCAGCTCCCATCCTTTCTCCAGCCCTTGGGGCAACTGAGCAATATACTTATTTGAATTTCTACTCATGGCCCCCACCAGCTCTGAATGTCTAACCTGTTCCCCTAATTCGTAAACCTAGGGGGAAACCATCTCTCTCACTTAATGATCCCCACCTCATTCTGAAGCTTTCTCTAAGTCCTTCCCCAGATGCTTCCTAGAACATTCCATTCTTTGTGGCCCAGGGCCTGGACCAGACCATTGTGATACCTGACTCACCTGCCTGGGAGCATGGCTTTGGATTCCGTTCTTCCCAAGGGTGGGTCTCTCTATCCCTATTTCCTTCACATTGAGATGCCATGCCTTCCTTGGCTTCCATGCCTTTGGATCTTCCATGCTCCTTCCCATACTCCTTCCCATACTCCTAGGCTTTGGAGGTGGCCTCGCCCAATCCAGGTCAAGGAGGTAGTGACAGGACAGCTTAACCCTCTGTTCCATGGCTGAGTACTCTTCCAACCCAGGCCAGGGAAATCTTGGCCCTACCTTGACCCTCAAATCCAGTGAGCTCCAGATTCTTCCAAGGCAAAAGAGGTGAATCGATCACACCTCTTCATGTCTTTTCATATGGCCTCTTCTGGGCTAAATCAGATTTGGGGGTCAGGAGGAGAGAGCTCCATATGGAATGGAGAAAGGAATCTACTTTCTCCCAGTTTTTCCCCTTTCCTGATGGTTTCTCCCAGACTAGACCAAATAGCCAGAAAAACGATGGGGGTTGGATGGGTGGGTAAGCCCAAGATTTGCACATGACCTTCCATCCTTACCTTTCCCCCCATCTTCCCTAGTGTTGCTCTCACCAATCACTCCAGATGGTTTTGGGGGAACCATCCTACTTTCCTGGTGGGCTTTGGGGTATCCCCACCAACTTTCCCTACAAAAGAGCACCTTACACCCCATCTTTGACTCAGTTCCCCACACCCAAAGATCCCAGCCTAGGGATGGGGTACAGGGACCTTAAATAGTCCCTAATCCCTAATTTGCACTAGTTAACCCTGGTCAGGGGTCGCTATATTTCCTTCCAGTGGGGGAGAAGACTGAAATGTTTGTTTCTAAAGCTCTTTGAAAACAGGGCCTCCCTGCTCTGCGATTGGAAGAACATTTCTCTCTCCCCCCACCTTCCCCCTCCCCCAGAAAAAAACAGCTCACAAGGGGAGAACCAGTATGGGGAAGCAGATTTGACAAATGGGAATTAGAGGAGTGTAGTTTAAAAATGGGGAAAAGTTGCTATCAAGAAAGCAGCTTTTCTCTCAGCTACTGTTTTTTGGGGCCAAGATGGCTGCCCTCTCAGCAACTGCCTAGAGGGCAAGATCATGGCTTTTAGAGGGAGGTGAATCTGGAGAGCGCCAGGATCATCCTCCTGCCCCCTTTCCCTCCCAGCCTATAGGAAGGGGGAGGTGTTGGACAGGCTCCCTGAATGTTAACCGGTGAGGAGTCACTCCTTCTTTCCTCCTCTGTCTCTTTGCACTTTTCTTGGTCTTGGCCACAGTCTGAGTGAAGAATTTCCTACTGAATGTACCAAGTTCCAATTTTTAACGGGGAAAACATTTGAAACAGGGAAAAATGCAAAAAAAAAAAAAAAAAAAAATCACTAAAAATTCCCACAAATCTTTTCTGGCACTTTAGAAAAACTGCAAAAAATACATAATAAAGAATACATATATATATCTACACACAAATTATATATATCTATATATATACAGCGGAACCACAAGAGAGACTGAGGAAGGCCTGGAGGCAGGGGACAGATGTGATGACAGTCCCCCTGTACCCTTCACCCACACTCCTCTGAGGCAAACAGGCACAGGAGAATGGAAGGGGTTGAGGATGGACCTGGGAATTTGAATTTCAGAATAGGTCAAAATTCCAAAACCCATGGATATTGGAAGAATTGAGATTGTAAACGTTTTTTTCTTTTTTTGAAATGTGTAAGGAAAATAGCTTACAGAATTTGGTGGTTCTGGGCAATGAATGAGATTGTGGCAGAGTGGAGATTAAAATATATGTATTTGAGTGGGAGAATTTGAATATTGAGTTTCAGATGTTGGAAATTAGGGATTTTGCAATTTTGTCATTTGAAAATGATCGAGTTTTGTCAGTTTTTGCCCTCTTTCCCCATGTTCCCTGGGAAAAAGGTGATGATAAAATGGGAAGGCCACCGGTTCTGTGCCATAGCACGCAAGATTTAAAATTCTACAGACTTTAGCTCTATATGTAGTGAGGACCCAGATTTAGAGAAACTGACCAATATTTATCTCCGCATTTGTGTGTGTGTCCAACTCTCTTGGCCAATAAACCAACAAGACAAATGAACTGTGCTCCATAGTGGGATGCCAGGTGCAGTTATTTGTGTGGCTGTTGGGCTTGGGGGAAAGGGACATATTTTCCTTGTCCCACAGGGATCCTTACATTAGAAGTTGTAGCCCTATTCTCTCTCTTACGACAACAGCTTTCAGCAATTGAGTAGGTAGGTGTGAGGCTTGTTGACTCTAGGTGCTTCTTTGTAATTGCTGTAGCCACTAGGATCCAGCTGACTTTGGTCTGACCTCCAAGCAGAAACATTAACTCAGTCCATTTCATACAGCCTTCTGTGCATAACTGCTGGATGGAAGATCTCTGTATCCTTGAATGGCCTTGCTTCAAACCAGATTCAACCCTTTTTTCCAGTTTGAAAGTAAACTGAGGCAAAAAATATGTGATGACCATAAAAGATATGACCTCATTCCATTCTTAGCCTCTCCATTGGCTTCAACTCCTTGCCTGTCCTCCTCTCTCCTATCTTTTCTACTGATATGGAGGGATGGGCAGGTAAAATGAGTGAAGGTGGTTAGGTGGACAGGGGCTTTAAGGAATTCTGGCACCAATACCTTGACCAGAGTGAGCAGCCACTGATTAGCTCTAGCAAGTTTCCATCAACAAGAAAATATGGCCAGGCATTACCATACTTAAAAATTTTTTTTTTCAAAGAAAAGCCAGAAATTCCCAGACCTGGTGGCAAATGCCTATAATCTCAGAGGCTCAGGAGGACAAGATGTGAGGATTACAAGTTCGAGGCCAGCCTCAGCAACTTAGGTCCTAAGCAACTAGTGAGACCCTGTTTCAAAATAAAAAATAAAAAGGGCTGGGGATGTAGCTCAATGATAAATTGCCCTGGGTTAAATACCTCCACACACAAAGAAAAAAAAGACAGAAATCCACCTGTCTCTGTGAAATATCCAAGTTTTAAAAGTAGTGAGCTAATTAAATTTGAAACTGCACATGCCAACAACATGAACCAATAAAAACACTCCAGTTTGCAAACTCAGATATTGTTGATATATACTATGGGGCATATACTATTATTAGCTTTGTTTTACAGATGTGGAAACTATGATACAGGGCAGTCAGTCATTTGAGCATTAAAGCCAGAAGTTGAATAGAGGTCTTTAAAACACTTTTTTTTTAGTTTATTTTTTTAAAGTGTTGTTTCTTCAAAACACTTTTTTAGCCTTTAGAACCTTTTTTTTTTTTTTTTTAATTACATTAAGGTAAAAACAGAAAAAGAAATTAGTCCAAACATGCAAATGTAGGAACTATTAATTGGTGTTATTTCTTTCCAGAAAATTCTCCCTCTTCATTCAACAAACATTGAACCTTTAGGTCAGTGTCAGGTGCTGGAAATATTACAGTGACCAAGACATTTCCTGCCATCCTAAGGCTTACATTAATTTGTGCTCTTTGTACTACTTCATTGGGGACCTGGGCATTGATATCCAAGGGAGCCGCCTCAAGTATCCAAAGAGCAAATAAACTGATATGCATTTCAGGTGGGTCTAAGACACCCTAACCAGCCCTCAGTTCCACTTAAGCGCTCTCCTTAGAAACAAAATAAATGTACTGGATTCCTAGCGAAAGGGTTTAAGCAGAGGGGGTTATAAGGCTTGAAAATACTTTCATTTCAAGTAGCCGAGAACCTGAGGCTCGGCCTTCCAGTCCTCAAGGAAAGGGGTCGGCAGGGGGTAAGTGGTACGTAGCATCTAGGAAAATGACCAGGGTCCCGACGCTCGTGAAGATGATGAAGGTCCACAGGAAGAGGCGATCCACTACCATAGCCACAAACTGCCAGTCCTCCTTCAGCTAGGGGTAGGCAGAGGAAACCACCTGAGTTCTAGGCCCCATCCCCAGGGAAGCCTGGCCCCCACAGCTCGGACCCCGCCCGGGACTTCCCACTGGAGGTCTGAGAAAAGACACCGCACTGCAACAAGTAACAGAGACCGCGAGTTAAAGAACCACTCGGAAAGTAGAGGGCGGGACCAAGTGAGGTAAACTTCCAATCATAAGTGGAAGCCAGTGCTAGGGGTGGGACCTGCGTTTGCAGGCGGAGCCAAGGTCACAGAGGACCTGCTCTTGCTCTGCCCCTCCCTTATTGGACTTAACTGCATCATGGTCCTCCTGTTCCTGCAGCTGTCGAGCGATGTAGCTGATCGAGGAAACCACCTCCCGTAACTCGGGAGGCAGGCCCACAGCCCGGTTTCGACCATCAATAAATCGCCGCAGGTCCGGGGTAGACAGTTCAGGCTGGAATCTGGAAGAAGCTGAATGTTCGGCCACGCCCCAGGCTAGAATAGCTAGCGCCAGTGACCTAGGTCCAGCTCCAACTGCCTCCAACAACCTGCCAGTTCTAAAAAGCTGGAAGAGCCCTTCAGACACTCTCACCAGGGGAGACCTCTCCAGCCATCCTCAACTTCTTGCACCCTTCCTCAACTTCTTCCAACCCTCCAAGCTTTATTTACCATCTTCCCTCAAAGTAAGCCGCAGAAGGGATACTACAACTCCCATGATGCTGAACCACAGCATCTTCCGAGAGCATGGGACGCTAAGCTCGCGCTCGGTCTTCTGGGAACTGTAGTTCTCCCTCTCCCCTCCATGTCAGTGTTGGGTATTAGTTCTACCTGTTGGGTTTGGGGAAGAGAAAATCATTCGGTGGCTTCCGGATAAAATATTCGTCAGTACCCCGACCCCAGCCACTTCCCAGAGAAGAAGAGTGAGGGGGCTCTGGCAGCTGGTCTCTCTCAGGTTTTGGCCTCTTCAGACCCAGGTAGAGAGGGAGCTTGTGGATGAAGATCTGCAGAATAGAAGACACTTACTGGAAGGGGCTTACTACAAGGGAAGAAGCCAACCATGTCCATTACCACTGTGCATGCACATGGTTCCATGGAGTTAATAGACAAGGAAATGCAATCTGGTGGTCTTGAGAGCTCTTTAGTGGGTTGAGAGGTTTCTGGGCTTTCACTCTGATTGTACCTATTCCCAAGAATGTTTCCCAGGGTCCCAACATAGGTAGTATTGATGAAAGGAGTATGGAATTGAATGATAAGAATGGGAAGTACAATTAATCGTGCAATGTTTCAACACCCAACAGGCTTTGGCATTTCAACACTTTACCAGATAGCCTTTATTTTCCCTTAGGTCTATAAAAAGGAAGTTGAGGTTGGTGTGGGGGGAGTGATAGCTGGACACAGAGCCAAATACTAAGATTGGGAGTTAGCACAGGCTAGAGGAAGAGATCTCTTACCTGACGGACCCAAAGAGGCATTTGGTGGGTGTGGGGAGAGCGGTGATGCAGGTTGAGTACCACAACGCTAAGGATGACTGAGAAAGTGACGAGGATCATGGTAAACATGAGATACTTAATAATGATGGGTACTGACAGGGAAGTCTCAGGTACTTTGTCTGCCAGCAGCAGCAGGAACACAGTAAGGGTCAGCAGGGCAAAGATGGAGAGCCCCATCTTTTCTCCTTAGAAGGCAAAGGGGAAAGCAAAAGAATTAGACTTTACTAGAAGGAAATCTCTATGTCATAATCAGTGACCATGTTTCCAGCCAACCAATGATAGGGAAGGTCAATCTGCATACAAATTACTCCCATATTTGTTCCTCCAGTCTGGACTTCTCCCTTGCACACCAGACTTACATCCAAATGCTTTCTCAACCTTTCCACTGGGATTATCCAATACACATCTCAAATTTAGGATGTCTAAAACCTAATTCTGTCACCACCAAAGCTACTCTCCCATAGTTTTCCCCATCCTTTAACAACTGCATCTTTTCTGTGGCTTAAACCCAACTCCTTGGAGTCATTCTCAACTTTCCTCCATTTCTGTCTCTCTCCATCTCTTCTACTCTTCATTCCATATCTTCAAAATATATCCTAAAACTGATGACATATCACATCTACACTCTCATCCCAACCATCATTACCTCAGGTCTGAATTATTGTAGAGGTATCCTACCTGATCTCTGCTTCATCTGTTTACCTCAGCAGATCAGTCAAACTGATTTTGTTGAAATATAAATCAGATTATATCATTCCTCTTTCCAAAACCACCTAAATAGCTCCTCATCTCCTTCAGTATAAAAGCAAAGTTCTTTCTATGGATCACAGGTTTTTCTCATTAGCTCCCTAATTTCAACTTCTTCTCTCCCTCTGGCTTACTTCATTCAGTTACAATGTCTTCCTGCCTATTTCTTGAATACACAAGTCAGCCTCCCACTACAGGGCCTTTGCATTTACTGTTTCCTTTGCTTGCACATTCTTTCCCCAGATACCTCCTGGAGTCATTTTCTTGCCTCCTTTAAGTCAAATAGTCCCTCTTCAATGAGACTATTCACTGACATCCCATGTATTGTTATTGTTGTTATTATGTTATTATTATTATTATTTAAACTGGGAATAAACCCCAGGGACACTTTACTGCTGAGCTACATCCTCAGTCCTTTTAAAAAAAATTTTTTAAGAGTTTCATTAAGTTGCTGAGGCTGGCCTTGAACTTGAGATCCTCCAGCGTCAGCCTCCCAAGTTGCTGAGATTACAGGCATGCACCACCATACCCAGTTCCATTTTTATTTTTTATTTACTATAAGGAAAGCAGCCAACCACCTCCAGATAAAAGAAAAAAAAAATGCTTTGAATACTAGAGTTAAGGATACTGGGTCTCTCAACCAGACTGGCACTGACTAGGGCTGGAATAACAACACTATCATTTTTACTGTGTGATGTCAGATAAATGACTTAAACTCTCAGCCTCTTTATCCTCTATAAAATGAGAGTGACAATTCAGTACTTACCATGAAGTATTATTGTAAAGATTAGAATCAAATAACATGTTAATTGTATAACCTTATAGCAAGTGCTTAAAAATCATATATATATATATATATAGGCATGGTGGTGTACATCTTTAATTCCAGTGGCTTGGGAGACTGAGGCAGGAGGATCATAAGTTCAAAGCCAGCCACAGAAACTTAGCGAGACCCTAACCAACTTAGGAGACCCTGCTGAAAAAAATTTTTTTTTTTTTTTTTTTTAAAGTATTGGGGATGTGTCTCGGTGGCTAAGCAATCCTGGGTTCAATTCCTGGTAAAAAAAAAAAAAAGCTATAATCACATAGAATGTACTGAGTACCAGGCATAGTTTTATTAAGTCAGTCAATTCTCAAAATAATCCTATGTGGTAGGGACAATGATTGTCTTCATCAGGAAACTAAGACACACAAAAATTAAGAAATTTACCCAAGGTTACTCTGTTACTACATTTTGCTTCCTGCTAGAGAAATACTATTATTTCTCAGGCAGGTAAAAAGTTTAGGCATAGTGTCCAAAAAGTAGGGGTGGAGGGTTGCTAGGAAAGGGGAAAGGGAAGAGGAGATTGGCTCAACATGGGATTTGGCTGGTCAGAAAACTACACAAGTGGCTATGACTCTAAAGGAAAGAATTCAGAAGTCACTGGGTGAAGGGAAACCAGCAGCAGAGGGAACGTAGAGCCTAATATTGGGTCTACTGGGTGGGAAGGAAAACCAGGGATTGATGAATCTAATCCATGGTGATTTAGAAAATCGTGGTCTGGGTTAAGGGTGAAGAGAAAGAAGCTGAGCTAATGAGAAGAGCATTACCTGCATCCGGTGGCAAGTAGAAGACAAAGATGGCCAAGAGAGTGATAAGGATGCACGGGGCAATGACATTGACCAGGTAGAAGAGAGGCTTCCGGCGGATGATGAGGTAGAAGGTGACTTCCTCATGTTGTCCTTCCCTCCCTCCCCTAGGATCCCCTGGAGGCTGGATTAGCCTAGCAGGCTTGTGGATAATCTCCCATTGGCCATTTTCTGAGGGAGAGGGAAGCAGAAGAGATACCTATGTGAGAATTGTCCTAGTCAGTTCCAGGTATGCAACACTGTAGTGGGCAGCTATCTCTAATAAACTTAACTACATCTCAGTTTCTATATTTGTACAGTGTTGACAGTCATACCCACCTTGCTCACTCCAAAAGGTTACATTGGACATTGCTGACAGAGTATATTTACCTGCCTGTTACAAACTGGAAATCAGAAAGCCTAAGGGTGTAGAAGTCATCCCCACTTACCAATGAATGTCCCTTCGTGAATGTAGATTTCCTGCCGCTCCAGCCCATCAGAACCCAGGCCTGTATGCAGACTGACCTCTGAGCTGTCATAACTGTAGGAACTAAACACCATGGTGCAGTTTTGCCAGTCAAAGGGGAAGTAGGTGACCTGGATGGAAGGGAGAATCTATCTAGCTGCCAGAGAACTGGTCAGGACTTCCTTCAATTTGGAAGGTCATTGGGGAGGTCCTTGGGGGAACAGGGATATGGGGTCAAAGAGGAATTGGAGGGCTACTAACAAAGGCCATTTGGGAAATGGTGGAAGGTCACTGAGAAAGAGTAGGAGTCAAGAAAGTATATGGAGAAAAGAACACTTAGTGAAAAGTCAGGAGATGAGGTCATAGGGGATAATGGAGGAGGAATGGGAGCCCCTGAAAAGTCAGGATGTCTGAGGAGAGCAAGAGTTTTTAAGAGCAACTTTAGCTTCCCAGGTGGGGCTCAGAAACCTGGATGCTGCAGCTGCTGCGATAGATGCCTGGGGGTTGCCAGCGGACTGAGCCATCTGAAGACACCACAACGTCAATGTCCAGAGCAACATCAAAATTTCCATCATTGCTGCAGAGAAAGGATCCTCTCATCTGGAATCCCATAGTCCTCCAGAGGCCCCACCCCTCTTCAGTTCCCACCCCACCTCCCAGGCTTTGGAAAATACCCTACTTGTTCATCAACACCACATCAGGTAGCCATACTGATTCTGCCGTGATGCGGAGCAAATCGATGCCATCGTGCTCTGCCGGGTCCCAGCTCAGCCTGTAGTCAGTCCATTCCTAGGGAAGCACAGGCTAAGGGGCTGTTTGGGGCTAGAAATACAGGAAGGGAGTGCAAGGGAGTGGAGAAGTGCAGGCATGTCAAGGAGTCAGGTTCTGACTTGGGGTCTGTCTTCACTCTTTGGTATTCACACTAGCTAATTTTCCTCTCTCAGTTGTGGGTCTCAGTTTTTTAAGTCTGGAAAAACGAAGAGAGGTTAAGCCCCGCGCAGTGGCGCATGACTATCTCCTTGCCACTTGGGAAACTGAGGCAGGAGGATTGAAAATCCGAGGCCAACCTAGACAATTTAGCAAGACCCTGTCGCAAAATAATAATAAATAAAATAAAGACTGGTAATGTAGATCATTGGTACATCGCCCCTGGGTTCAATGAAAAAGAAGTAGTTGCACCACCAAGAGGTTGCACCAAGGTGGGTTTTTGTTGTTGTTTTGACTTTTTGTTTTTTTCCTTTCTTTGTGTGTGTGTGTGGGGGGGGGCAGTGAGTGGGATGGGTACTGCTTATTGAACCCAGGACTTCGCACATGCACAGTGGTTTTCCCAAAATGCAGTTCATGACACTTTAGTGGACGGGGATCCAAGGTAGTGGTCCTAAAGCACTGTTTTAAAAAGTTGGAATAAAAAATGCAATACCTATCCCTGTAGGTATTGTTTTCTAAAGCTTCTGTTTCAGTTATATGTGTTTTCTGAGGTCGTGATACAAAAAAAAAAAAAAAAAAAAAAAAAAAAATCTTATTTGGCCGGACATTCGAGTAAATTATAAAGACAGCGAGACGCGCTCCCCACCCATCCCCGCCCCCAGCGAGATGCCCTTCCCCATGGGGTCTTCATACCAGGTCTAAATACACCTTTGTGCTCATCTCTTCATCCTTTTCGTTCTACAAGGGAAAATTTTTAAAGCGTAAAGGCAAAGTTAAGTGGAGAAAAATGAGGGCTTGGCAGGTTAACCTCTCCTTGGAAACTGCAACCCCTTTTCCTGAAGCCCACCGTCTAGGGTCCAAGTCCAACCTCCTAGAAGCTGCGTTAGTTTAAACCCCGCCTCTACCTCAGAAACACCCCTTCCTGCTATCTACACTCTCAGCTTGTTTTCCTATCAGCATCGCCCCCTTCCCCCCCACTTGCCCCGGTCCCGCCCACAGTTTACAATCCACCCAACCCTGAATTTCCGTCCGCAGCTGTTTATTGACCCGTGGGGCACCAAACTCCGCCCCACCTTGGCGAAGCCTTTGGCGGCTCCTCCTAAGGATCCGCCCCCCCCTGCCCATCAGCCCGCCACAGCTCCATTTCAAGATCCGCCCACAAACCGGTACTTCGTCCTACTTGACTCCACTCGGGGCTGGTCCACAAGCCACGCCTATAAACTTATTCATTGGTCGAATTTCTATCCAATCGCCACTAAAAGGTTGTCCATCCCTCAGCCTGGCCACGCCTAAGCCCCCGCCCCCAGATTGACCATTGGTCCTGACATGCCCCAAAGCCACGCCCCCCCACCATTCCACAGGCCAGACCCCAAACCCCAGCGTGCGCCCTCACCAGGCTGATGAGTTGCGCTAGGGTAAGACCAATGCTGACTTCGACGCTGTCACCCAACACGCGCGCCGGCCGTACAGAACTATCATAGCCCGAGAAAAGTTTCTCGCGGAGTTGGCCCTCCGCCTCTGAGCCGTGGGCGCCTGTGGGAGAAGAGCATTAAGTGAAGCCCTGGTGCCTGTTCATTCACAACCGTTGCTCCAGTCACTGTCTTCTCAGGATTTAGACGTACTTACCTGGGGCGAGCAGCACCCCCAGAAGCAACAGCAGCACCCCTGGGGTCATAGTCTGGTCGCGGCGCTCAGTGAGTTCGCCCGGGAAGCTGCTGAGGCAACCAGCGCAGGGGAAGTGACGAGGCGCCCAGGAATGTGCACCTGTCGTTGGGGGGCAGCTGCCACCCCACCAACCCCGCCCCCGGGATTGGTTCCGCCCCGAGCAACTGCCATCGCCCGCCACTCAGAGATGACAGACAATACTTCAGTTGTATAAACTGACTTTAATTTGAAAGCGTAGAATGGTGACCCAGTCCCCTGGGTGAAGTGTCAGGAGATGGGTGGAGCCTGAGCGGGGTTTGTGTGGGTGAGGGGGGGAACCTACCCCCCTTGCGACAAGCCAGAAGTAAAAGAGCCTGAGAAAAAGTGACCTGTCTTTGAGCACTAGCCCCTTGCTTAAGGTCTCAGTCTATCCCGCCCAGGTCTGTGGCGCTTGGGAATATAGTTCACTAATGGGTTCCCAGTCCTTTCCAGGCCTTGTTGTCCATTTTTCAGAAAAATCTAGTCAGGCCCTTTGGGTACTTAAAACCCAGCTGAGGTTATAAGCTGTAAAGTAAAGCAAGTCTATTCACTTAGAAGCTCTGGGGGTGCATAAGGTCTCCAGCTTAAGAGGCCCTCACCCTCCTTGGCCTGACCTGTAGGGGAGAGGGGTGGGACTTATTGCTGAATTGGAGTATCCTCGTGGGGAGGGGCATCAAGGCTGTGTCCCATTTGTCCTTTTAATTCTAGACCTATTGCCCTAAAAACCTCAGCTTTAAAGGGGACCTGGAAGGAATTCCTGCTGAGGTAGCTAAGTGTTCATGTCCCCCCAACCCAGACACAGATTCAATTATGCCATGGTTTTTGGTTCCTTTCCCCTCCCAGCTTTCTGGGTCAGGGATACTTTCAAAATTCTTCTGCCCTTTCCCAGACTTTTCCCTGGCAGGACCCCGGCTGGGTTGCAGAGGCTGGATGGAACTGCATGTAAAAATAAGGTTAGCATTCTACATGGAAGAATAAAGTTTTTTAGAAAATTATCCAGGAAAATAAGTGGTTCTTTATTCAATCAGAACTAATTAGTTCTTTATGAATCATAGCTGGGTCCTTTTCAGAGCTCATTCTTAATAGGTATCACTAGAAGTGAGAAAGTAGGTCTAGAATTCAAGACTCTAGAGCTAATATGGCTATATAGGCCCCCAGTTCCATCCTGGAAAGAGGTCTGAAAGTCATGGCCTATGTTCTAGAGCTATAATTCAGGAGGAATTATGGCTCCATAAAGGTCTAGAACACTGTGCTCTAGAACTGAGTATCTCTGGGATAAGAAGGTTAAACCTGTGGTGATCTGAGAGTGGTCCCAGTTCAGGCCAAGGTCAATATCCTGACAGGGCTTAAATCCAGTCTTTCTACTTGAAGGCCAAGGGTCCAACTGGGTTAAGGATGGAAGCTTGATGGATCCAGAACAGAACCTGGCAGCATGCCTAAGTTCTAGCACAGAGCCCTAGTACAGAAATGGCCCTGGCTGGGGTGTTTGGTATTTCAGAACCTGACCAGACAAGGCAGAAGGTAGAATAGGGAAAGAAGAAAAATGATCCTGAGCTCCAGTGGACCTATGGCTCAGTGGTAATGAAAGGGGGTACAAGGATCCAGGAAGTGGCTAAGCCAGGGAGTGGTTTATGCCCTGGCTCTGTCAGTTTTGGAACTCCTAATGCCATCTTGAGAAAAGGCTTTGGGGGATGAGTATGAGTATGGAAATAAGTGATCAGCCAGACTATAATCAGATATCTGCCCCCCACCCCCGACTCAAGGATCTAAAAGTCTCAACAGCCCTGGAAGTCCCAGCCAGCCCCTAGGTTTCCTCAGTGTAGAGTACCTGGTGGGACATGGCTGCTCAGGGCATGTGTGTGGCAACAGGGGTGAGAGCAGGGCCGGGAGCAGGGCTGGGAGACAGGCTGTGGTGGTGGCTGGCTCACTGGGAATTCAGGGAGCCTCCAGTCCAGAGATTATATTTCAGGGGGCAGGGGGACTGGAAGGGGAAGTCTCAGGGACACTGTGGAGAGAAGGCTCCCGATACATGGCCACTGTGGAGGGGAGAGAGAGAGAGAGGAGCAGGGAAGGAGAGTTAGGCACAGAGAGACCAGGGCAAAACCAGAGCTCTGAGAGGGCTTCCTTCCCCCTACACTTGCCCAAAGAACCCCAACCCAAAGGAGGAAAGCCCCCCAAATCCCCAAAGGCCAAAGCCTTCCCAGCATGATCTGTCATAACACATCCTCTTTTTTTTTTTTTTTTCTTGTGATACTTGGGATTGAGCCAGGGACTCTACCACTGAGTTACATCCCAACCATTTTTATTAAATTACCAAGGCTGGCCTCAAACTTGCAATCCTCCTGCCTCAGCCTCCCCAGTCTGGGATTATAAGCATGCACCACCACACCCTGCTAATGGTATTCTCTTAATATTCATAACCTGAGCTGTGTATCACTAAATGTTCACGTCAAGGTCAATACCCTCCCACATGGCCCACCTTTTCTTGAGTCCATACCCACCCTCCAGGAGCTTGGGCACAAAGTGGGCAGCTGCCTTGGTCTTCTTGACTCGATTTCCCTTCATGACCCGGCCCTCCTTATCCAGGCCTAGGTACCAGGCTCGGCCAGAACGGCGCTGACAGTAGAGAGCAGAAGCATACAGGACATAATAATTCTCAAAGACACACTCCTTAAAGCGACACTCGGCAGTGAAATGTGGCTGAGGAGACAAAGACCCAGAAAGGCACACACAGAGAGACAAAAAGACACATCACTGGCAGAAGGAAGCCCTTGGGATGAACAAACCAGGATATAATCTATACATTTTTGGGAGAAGAGGAGGGCAACCACTGAACTGAGAGCAAAGGGAGGATAAGAAAGAGCTTAGGAGGCTCCTGAAGGCTATAAACTAGAGTTGTGGGGGCCCTGGAATAAGATCCCTACTCTCTACTCCCAACTTTCACCATCACCTATCCTGAATGATTCTGGGGAAGTGAGTAATAATCAAGTAATCAAGTCTGGAGGAGACATGGTGAGAAGTGAGGACCCTAAAAGGCTGAAAGCATTGGACACCCAAACAGCCTGGGGTAGGGCTGTGTAAGGAGCAGGGATTGCACACATCCTAGAGAACCTTTGTGGTAAACAGTGACCACATGCCATAAGCCAAAGCTGGAGGTGGGGGAGTCCTGGGTGTGAAATGTCTATAGCTACAGAAGGTTGTATGCTGAGGGTGTCCCCAGTACCCCAGGCCACTCAGCCTTATCATCTCACCGAGCTGTAGAGCAGCCCCTCAGCGTTCATGGCCATGTAATGACCCAGCTTTGCACTCTGGATGGTGACAACACGGAGCCCCACAGGAATTAGGTTGAAGTGGGCTGGAGGAAAAGAGAGGAAGCATTAGTACCTAGGCACTTCACCCTTATCTGAGCTCCCTCCATCCCGGCTCCACTGCTTCCCTTTGGAATCTGGGAGACAGATAGAAAACAATAGAACCTGAAGAGGGAATAGGATTGTCATCTTATATCCCCATATTCCCCCTTCCCACCCAGCAACTGGCTTCCCCTTCTCACTGAAGGAGCTGGTGTCCTCTGGGGTGCCCTGGATGCTTCCGTCAGGATTCGCCTGGAGGTAGAAACCCTGGCGGCAGAACAGTTTGGTGACGATGCCTTTGAGCTGAGGTTCTAGAGAGAGAGACATTCATCTTTGAAAATGACATCTCTGTTCCCAGAAACATTCCTTCACTTGGCGGGATCACAGGAAAGAAAGGAGAATGGAGGAAAGGAAGCGGGTCCCAGGGAGGCAGATCTTTTACCTTCCAAACAAGCTCTCTCCCACCTCTTGACTCCTGGGGAAGCTGGGGTTTGGGTCCCTTCTGTTTCTTCTAGCCACCAGCTTTCAGTTTAATTATTGAAATTTATTTAAATGGCTTAATTCCTACTCTACAGCTCATCCAGAAGGGGGGAGGGGAGAGATGGAGAGAAGGAAAGATACATCAAGAAGCAGCGGGCATGGCAAGACTAGCAGGGCTACTGAAAGGGCAGAGTGTTTGTGAATGGCGGGGTGGGGAAGCGGCAAGGTGACCACAGGGAAGGGGCTCCCCCTCAGGAGCGGGGGGTGGGATTGGGCCTGACGCTGACTCAGCACCTGCTGCTGCGGCTGCCGTTTGCTTGGCGCGGGCATTGCCTTGGCCCAGCGCCGGCCTGTCTGACACTGACCCATCTGTCTGTCTGTCTGTCTGTCAGTCTGCTAGCTCGCGGAGGCCTAGTTCTCCCTGAGGCTCAGCCTCTTCCCTTCACCCAGGTAACCCACCTGGGATTGGGGGACGTCCGGTACCATATCAAGGATATGGGGGAGGGGGCCGTGGAGAAGGAGAGGCAGGCTGAGTCACGTGGAGGCCGGTTCCCACTCAGAGGGTGGGCTGCGGACTGTACCACTATGGACTGCGGGTGGCGGGGGAGTAGGACGCGAGGGGCTACCCCTAGGGGAAATGGGAACCGGCTGGAGCCGGGCCAGAGGGACTCCCTGACTGTCATACCTGGACGAGGACCACAAGCTAACATACAGCTCTCCTCCCGGGTCGCTTGCTCTCTGTCAACTTCCCTGTCCCCCCTGTATGTGGTACGACCCCCAAGTCTTAGTGCCTTTTTTCTAGCAGTGAACTGTGTTTGAGTTCCTCCAGGCTCAGGGTCCCCTGAGCCTGCGGACCGGTATTTTGGAGTCATGCAGGGGGAAATGGGGGAGGGTTGCTCCTACTGACTTCTTGTAGTTCAGGTCAAGTGAGGAGGTCCCACTAAGGGGCTGACTGGTGAGGTAGTTACAAGGACACCGGGGGAGAGCTGGGGAGATTGGCTTTGAGCCAAGCAAGCTGGACCCGGAGGAAGCGAGCCTAGGCGTGGAGCGGGAGAACCAGGGTGGGGGCGAGGCGGCCAGAGCTGCAGAAACCCTCTGGGTGACCCAGGCGTCCGGAACCCCCAGGCCCCAAAGCTCTCAATTGAAAGAATCGCGAGAAACGGCACGTAGGCGGAGGACTGTGGGGGTGGGGACTCCCGGGGTGAGTAGGAGCCGCCAGGCTTGCGGCCCCAGACTTAGCCCCTCAAGTCTTTCCCTTTCCCTTGCCCTCGAAAGCAAGGAGACTTAACGTTATGGACAAAAGGCGAGGGAAACTGAGGCACAGTCTAGCAGACTTTGTCGTCCGGTCCCGCCCCTTCCCACTTTTGGGGACCACCCTCAACCAGGCCCCATTCTTCAGAGTCCCTGGCCTCAACCTCTCAGGAGGAGAGAACTTCAGGGGAGACCCCGCCCCAGCCGCACTCACCCAGGCCGCGGTCGGGCCGCGTCGGCCGTCCCCCGCACAGTCGCACCTTGGACAGCAGGATGAGGAGCTGCTTCTGGCAAAGGGACTTGGTGCCGCGGGGACACACGCGCCGCTGCGCCGACACCGGCCGGCTGCCCCCAGGCTCACGGACCTCCCGCTTCTGCCGGATCAGGCTACTGGCCAGCGCCGCCATGGCGCCCCAGAAGAAGACACCCCCAAAACAGCAGGCGCTAGGAGCGCCCTGGGCTCCTTCAGAGGAGCCCTCTCACCAGGACATGCTCTTGACGCTCAGGTCCCAACTCACCGCCCCACCCACAGGACCTGAGGATAAACCCCAGAGCCACCAGCTCCCACCCTTGGGCCCTGTGCTAGCTCCACCCGATTCAGCAGCCTATGCACTCCCCACTTGACCTCACCCTCAAATTTTGTCCCCTACTGAAAACTCTCCCTTCCCTCCTCTACAGTGTCTTTGTTTCCACTTCCCCTGTCCCAAACCAAGACCCTCCAAATTTCTAAGATATGGTCTCAATATCCCCAAGCCCTTTTCCACCCCCTTTCCACCCCCCAGCCAGATCCACTCTTGTAATCTAAAGGGTGTGGGTCCTTAGTTTTGGAGAAATTAGCTCACCCTACCCCTGCAGGGCCACTATCAATGTCAGGAAGGAACCCAACCTTGGTGCTTTTTCCTTTGCTACCCTCTAAATGAAAACGATCCCCCACTTTTCACTGAAATCCCCCCAAATATCTCAGAATATCAAGGCTGTCCAGGTTTATTGAGATTCCCAGACCCTCTAGCTGAACACCTTTTCCCACTATCCCTATTTCTAGTAGCACAGTATTCCAGCTGCAGAGACCCTTTCCTCACCTTGTCACCCTCCACTCCTTTTGAAGTCACCTCCAAATCCACCCTTCCTAGTGAATACACCAGGTGATTGTCAGAGGGACCCTGTCACCTGGAAATAAGGAGCATCCGCCCCCCACCCTTGCCCCTTAAATTTCCTTAGGGACAGCTGGTGCTGTTTGGATCCCACGCCCTCTAATCTAACCAGCCCCCTGAAAGAGGCGTGCACCCACGTTGTCAACCAGTCCCCAAATGTGAACAGGCCCCCTATAAATCAGCGCATCAGAGCTTCCTGCCACAGGGCTTCCTCGTCCTCCCCGGCACTGCCTATAGCACCCCCTTTCCTTTCCCCGACGCCCCTCAACCTGTCCTGTCCTGTTGATCCGGGCGACTGGTAGCGGCTGGCTCCGGCTCCTGGCTCCTCCCTCCCTCTCCCGGGCTAGAGGAGCTTCCCCCACGCCCTGCTAGGCTCCCGGACCCCGGGAAGGAGTGAAGGTGTCTCTGCAGAGCGCCCCGGTCCGGCGAAGTCAGAGCACTGGGCCTGGCAACTGGACTAGGCAAAGCGGCGGCGGCGGCGGCGGCGGCGGCGGCGGCGGCGGCGGCGGCGGCGGCAGCGGCAGCGGCAGCGGCTGTGGGAAGCTGAGGCGGCGGCAGCTACAGCAGCTCCCCCTCCTCCGAGAGCCGGCCCGGGGGCGGGGCAGGGGGCGGAGACGCTAGGAACGGGGGGGGGGGGGGGGGGAAGCGGGGCGAACGGAACCCTGGGGTTCCTTGGAGGCCAGGAGAGGGGAGTGTTTCAGAGGCAGGCGGAGTCGAAGCCAGGCCGCACGTCTTGGGGTTCAGAGAAGGAGCGATAAGGAATTCTGAGCCGAACACTGATGTGGGAGAGAGGTTGGGTTTCAGATAGAATAGCAGTCGGAAGAATGGAGCAGGACCCTACTGCCTGGGATGAAGTGAGGACAGAACTGGATGACGAAAGTGGGGGAAGAAATTGAAAGATGGGGAAGGGCAGTGAGATCTAGCCCGGGGTGAAATCCAGCCTCTTTAATACTTCTGTTTTTGTGTGACAAATTGATCATTCCCTGTTTTCCATACCTCTCTCCTTTCTGCATTTTGTCAGCAACTACAGTCTTCCTATTTCTATTGACTTCTAAGAGAAAAGGCCAAAAGAATTGGGGAGAAATGGTTGCAGGAGGTTGCATCTAGGCAGGAGGCATGCTGGTCAGATTTGGTGAAGGGGGATGATCTGGCCAGAGTTGGGGCGGAGGTGGGGGGGGAATGGGAAGGAATCGCCTAGGAGGCCTTCTAGAACAGAAACTGGGCCCAGGCACAATCTGTCTTCATGTAAGGGGCGAACAGTTCTCCACGTCTCATCACCAACGGAAACACTTTCTACACGGGTAGGAGTAGCGTCTTTAATGGGTTCCGCCCCCAATGCCCGCCAAGCCGCCCCCCTTGCGGGCAACCTTGGCCTCCTCCACTGCCTCACGCAAGGCCCGGGCAGGGTCCCCGCGGAGCTGGGCCAATGCCCTGAGTAGGGCTGCCGTGTCGTCTCCCGCACAGAGCTTTGGGCCGCTGAGAAAATAGTGAGGCAGCGTCCCGGCCTCGAGCACGCGGCCCAGCTCATCCAGCAGTCCCAGGCAGCAGGCGCCCGCATTTTCCGGCCGCGCCAGGTAGAGTGCCGGCAGCCGCTCGCACGCCCAGTACAGCAACGTCCGAAGGAGGTAGGGCGCCGCGGCCCGGGTCCCGGCCACCAGCGGGCGCAGCAACGCTTGGGCCGCCGCGTGCGCCTGCAGCAGTGGCGCGGGTATGCGCGCCTTGAGCGCCAGCTCCTGGCGGGCGAAGCAGAGATGCCAGTCAGAGGCGCCGGGCGGCCGGTTGCCACCTCCGGGGACCAGGTAGAAGGAGGCCGACTCCAAGGCCAGCGGACCCGCCCATGAGTGGCTCCGAGCCCCCTCTGGCCAGCCTGTCACGGACACCACGGGAATCAGGTCGAAAAGCAGAAGGCGGCGCGGGGGTCCCGGCGTTGCCAAGAGGACCGTGGTGAAACCCGCGTGGCGAGCTGCGTGCAGTAGGCGCGGAGCCCCCGGGACTGGGATCAAGGACTCGGCGACAGCAGCCAGTGTAGAGAAGAACCAGGCAGCCACCTGGGCGGGACACAATGTGGGCCACGCCTCCGGAGTCTCTTCGGGCTTTGGGACTGGGCATTCGACGGTTGCCCCGGTGACGTCACTTCTTAGTACTTTCAAAGGTGCGGGAGAACCAAGATCGGTGACGTCATGCTGATAAGACTCTGGCTCTGAAACGTCACTAGGTGATTTTTCCATAAACACTTGCAGCTGAGGCTCAGTAACGTAAGAGTGCAGCTGGTCCTCAGGGCTTTGCTGGTCATTGGGACTTCCTTCACTTTTGCTTTGGTTAATCAAATCATATCCACCTGGGACTGGGGGCCCTAGGCAATTCTGCCATGCCTCCCGGACCATATTTCCGCACACCAGCTCTGGGAGACGGAGCCTTGCGGAACAGGATTCCAGATCCAGTTGCAGTTCTGGCCCAGTGATGTCCAGAGAAAACACTGGCACTAAGAGTGTGAAGCCAGCGTCATAGTGAGGTCCCCGGTTGTAGGGACCTAGCGGTGCATGCCCCAGATCTAGGGAGCCCTCGCGAATCCCACCACGAAGCAGCAAGAGCTCTGCCTGGGGAGGAAAGCGGGGGTCCTGGCGGTAAACTAGACCTAAGGGAAAAGAATGGATGGTGAGGGCGTCGTCCGAAGGGGAGGGGAATGGCAAGGCGGAAGGTTGTGAATTCTCACAGGCGAGAAGGATTACTTACCAAGCAATGAAAAGACGAAGTCCTTAGCCCGGAGGAGGTCGGCTCCCGGCTTGGGCCCGTTACTCCAGCTCTCCTGAACACCGAGCTCCTGAATCAGCTGGGTCAGTTCCTGCAGCTGCGCCCCGGAACAGAAGTCAATGTCCGTGAGCGGCCGGGCTGGGGCTGGGGGCGGCGGGCCCCACCAGGGCGCACTTCCCCAGACCGCTGAAGCCATGCTGTTCTATCGTTTGGGGATAGGGAAAACACAGGAGGGTAGCCTAGACGGGCCTTTCCTTTGCTGCCAAAAATCGCTTCAGTTTTTTCCCTTCTTCCGATGCCGAGCAAGTGCCCCAGACACAGTCCACAAACGGGTCTGCAGACGATGGATTCTAAGTTTAATCTTCAAAACAAATACCTCTTGTGTCCTTGCCCCTTTCTCTGCAGGTCCCCGTCCTCGCGAACGGGTTCACCTGACTCAGCAGGTGAAAAGTAGCTACTGGGCCCCTCCTACAGCATGCAGTAACTGGGCTTCACAACCCCCTTCTCTACCTCCCCTTACCTCTTTTTCGAAAGAGGATTATTGGTCTGTAGCTTACCCCCTAGGGGTAGCTGTAAAGCTGGGGAAGAAACAGGACAGAATGATTCAACAGGTAGTTTCTTCCGGATGCCCACGCCCCTAAATTTCGACCACGCCCTTTCTGTAGACTGTAGGGGTGGCTCGGGCTTTGTCCCGCCTCTCGTGAGAGTTCAATCACTGGTTTCACCAGGTTGAAATCTCGCGCTACCCTGGGAATTGTAGTTTGTTTTCCGCGCTACCGGGGCGTTGGAGCCATGCCCCTGCATCTTTTTCCGTTCCGCTGAAGTAGTGCCTTATGGAAGTTGTAGTTTTTTTTTTTAAAATTTAATTTTATTTTGGTACCAGGCATTGAATCCAGGGACACTTAATCACTAAGCCACAACCCCAGCCCCCGAGGTTTTTTATTTTTTATTTTAAGACAGGGCCTCACTAAGTTGCTTAGGGCCTCTCTAAGCTGTTGAGGCTGGCTTTGAAATTGTGATTCTCCTGCCTCGGCTTCCCCAAACACTGGGATTACTTACACACCCAATCTGGAAGTTGTGGTTTCTATGGAGTTATATTATCCTATCTGTTGGATCCCACACAAACATTCCTTGGATCTGGAGTAGAAAGGTAATTGGATGGATCTGAATAACAGAAATGAATAGACACACTTTAGGGCCTGGGGAGAAATAGGGATCCTTGCATACCAGCAGCTCTGGTCACTTCCAGGAAATCATGACTTCCTCATTTTGGTGTTGGAAAGACTGCAGCTTAGAAAGATTGCACATGACTTGTCCAAGGTCAGAGGTGAGTCAGGCAGGAATGGGTCTCCCTGGATGGAGAGGCATCTTCTTGAAATCAGTGGTAGAAATGTTAAAGCAGGAATGGATATCTGATTCAGGGAAAGGCATACATAAAAATGATGCCCACCTCAGATATATAAGAGTCATGGTAGGAAAAACTTTGGAATTTCACAGTTGTGTGCACATATAAAGGTTATTAGGATTGAAAATGAGGTCCAGAGGAAACTCATAGCTAGAATGGATCAGGGCAGTGGAAAATAATCAAAGTCAGGAAATTGCTTTTCAGTAAACTATGCTACTAAGGACCAGACTAAGGGACCAGAACACAATTTAAGCACAAAATGGGAGTAGGAGCCAGGATAATGAGACACAAAGATAGGAAACCAGGAATAATATCTCAGATCATACCAATTTATTGCCAGGCAAGTTATTTATTTATTTTTGGTACTAGGGATTGAATCCAGGGGTGCTTTACCTCTTAGTCACCACACCCCCTCCTCCTTTTTTGGGGGGGGGTGGGGACAAAGTCTCACTAAGTTGCTTAGGGCCTTGCTAATTGCTGGTCTCAAATTTGCAGTCCTCCTGCCTCAGCCTCCCAAGTCACTAGGATTACAGGCATGTGCCACCACACCCAGCCAGGCCAGGACTTTTTACATTTCTTCTGCCCACAGTCTGTCTCCAGGGTGGAAGAGGCCTAAGTCCAATAGCATAAGCAGGGGCACATTGATAATGTGGAGGCATGTAAAGGAGGAGACTCCTGAAACCAGAGGTCAATTTAGGAAACCTAGACCTCAGGAGTTCCTAGTCACTGAGAAGGAGAGTCCAACTGGAGAATCAAAAACACTAAAACACAGCCCAAACCTGGGGACATAAATTTCCATACATCCAACTGTGACCCAAGAAGCCAGCAGGGGTTTTACATAGTCTGGGGTAAACAGGCATTGGCATCCTTACATCTTACCTGCTCAAGAACAAAGTTCTCTGGGCACTATGAGCTTTGAAAATGTTGGGGATGGACCAGGTGCATGCCTGTAATCCCAGTGACAGGAAGCTGAGGCAGGAAGATTGTGATTTCAAAGCCAGCTTCAGCAACTTAGCGAGGCCTTAAGCAACTCAGTGAGAACTTATCTCTAATAAAATATAAAGAAGGGCTGGGGATGTGACTCAGTGGGTTAAGCATCCCTGGGTGCAATCCCTGGTACCAAATAATGATGGTGATATGATGATGCTGGGGATGGGTGACAAAGGGAAGGGAAATCCTTTAACTCTAAAGCATTGCTCTCTACAGGATTTTCTAATGGAAATGTCCTTGATCTATATTGTCCAATACAGTAGCCACTAGCTATAGTTGGCTATTGAGCACTTAAAGTGTAGATTATGAGACAGAGGAATCAAATTTTTTGCTGAATGTTAATTCAATAGTAAGTGCTAGCTCAACTAGCACGTATAAAGCTCTGAGTTCAATCCCTAGCCCTGCAAAAAAATTAATAAAAGATGTGCTTCTGTGGACACAATAGATAATACAGAAGGTATAATGAGGGGCTGAGATTGTGGCTCAGCGGTAGAGTGCTCACCTAGCATGTGCGAGGCCCTGGGTTCGATCCTCAGCACCACATAAAAATAAAAATATTATGTCCAATTACAAATAAAAAAATTTTAAAAAAGTTATGATGAAGAATATATAGTTATGATCTAATCTTCACTTCCACCCTAGCTAATTCTAAAGTATATACCCCCTTTGAGAATTTTTTCCTATGTATTTTTGAACAAAAATGAGATAGAAAAAATTTGTTTTTGACATTTTAATAGCCATATTTGGCTAGTGGTTACTGTAATGCAAATGTAGCTTTAGGGTCTGGAGAATAACGTGGCTACATAGATATGGAGGAGCAAGGACATCTCAGTTCCAGTATCCATTTGTCTCTGGGTGGTCAACCTTAGGGCTGGAGCTAGGGCTAGGGTAGATGCTGTCAAACAACCATAGAACACTTTGACTCTTTATTCCTGATGCACTTTTGTTCCCTGTATGTCTGAGGTCCTCATCACATTCTGATATCTCCACTCTCTGATGGTCTCTCCTAAGTTGTTGGGTGCCTCTTGGCAGGGACGCCTGGGAGACAGAGCTTCACACTTGTCCGTGCCCACTGATAACTGTCTTTGGCGGGCATCAAACACCACATGCCCTGCCCGGAAGCCTGGTCCAGGGTAGTGAGGTCTGTTGTTGATTTTGGGAGGCATTGACATCTGGCGATAGCTCTGAAAAGCTGAAGAAACTGTACCCACAGGGCGGTATACCCAGCCTTGGCTGTCTGTTCGCCAGGAGGATGGCTTTAGCTCAACTAGTACAGGTACTTCTGAGAAGGTATGCAGGTTAGTGGGGATCTTGGAAGGGCAGTTTTGATTGATTGGGGTGGAAGTACATGATATATGCTGTTCTGCATTCTCCTTCTGAGGAGCCATCTCATGTATTGATTTCTTCAGGGATAGTGTTAGCTTTGGGGACTGAAGTGGGCCTAGGACTTGGGCAGAGTCAGTACATAGAGTAGGGCTTGGGGTCTTTGGGAGGCCAGGATTTGGGATATTGCCTGAATCCTTGTGGAGACCAGATTCCTGGGTAAGTCCTGGATTCTTGAGGAGGCCAACGTCTTGTGCAAGTGTTGGGTTCTTATGTAGGCCAGGATCTTGATTAATTCTTGGGAACTTGTGGAGGTTAGGATTTTGGCTTTGTTCTGGGTTCCTATAAACTCCAGCATCTTGGATAAGGATAAATCTTTTTTCAGCTTCAGTGGATTGGGTAAGGCCTGGACTCTTACGGCAGTTGGAATCTTGGGGAAGGCCTGGAACCCTGCAGAGTCCAAAGTCTTGGATAAGGCCTAGATTCTTGTAGTCTCCTGAATCTTGGGTCGGGCCCTTATTGAGGCCAGAGGTTTGGACAGAGCCTGGGCACTTCTTGGGACCAAATGCCTGGGTAAGTCCTGAGCTCTTGTTAAGTTCAGGGTCTTGGACAAAGTAGGGACTCTTCTGTGGTCTAGAACCTTGGCCTAGGCTCCTGTAGACCCCTGAATCTTGGACATTGCCTGAACTCTTATAACCTCTAGACTCTTGAGAAGGGCCTGGCCTCTTTTGGAGGTCAGTTGTTTTGGAGACACCTTGATTTTTGCAGACAACAGTGTCTTGGTTGGGTTCAACATTCCTAGAGACACCAGAGCCTTGCATAAAGCCCAAATTCTGAAGGTTAGAATTTTGGGTACATGGTATGTTCTTGTGGAAGCTGGAGGATTGAGTGTAACATGGGCTCCTAAAGACACCCCTATCTTGAGTAATACCTGGGCTCCTTTGGAGTCCAGAATCTTGGGCAATGCCTGGATTCTTTTGCAGGCCAGAGTCTTGAGAAGGGTTTGAATTCTTGCAGAGACAAGGGTTTTGAGTATGGTTTGGGAACTTGTGGAGGCCTGGATTTGGGACAAGGCCTGGGTTTCTGGGAACTCTGGAGTCTTTTGAAAGGTATGGAGTCCTCTGGAGGCCAGGATCTTGGGTTCGGCTTGGATTCTCATGAAGTTCAGGAGACTGGGTTTGGATCAAGTATTGAGAAGTGGTAGAGAACTGGGGAGGAATGGGGAAGTGGGAAGCAGAGAGAGACTGAGGAGACTTAGAGGTTGGGAGAAGGGTGGGTGCTTGTATTAAGGTGGAGGGCTTCTGATGGTTGATGGGTCGATAAAGGACGAAGGTTTTGGGAGGAACAAGTGGCAGAGAAAGAGTGCATGGTGGAGGAATGGTAGTCAGAGAGCTCTGAGCACTAGTTGGAGAATGAAGGCAATGTTTAGAAGGGGCAACATCCTGGGTATAGACCAAGATCTTGGGGTAAATTGGTGCCTGGAAATCTGTGTTTTTCTTCTCAGAACTGCAAGGATGGAAGCTGCAGTAAGGGAAGGTCTTGGACTGGCTGAGTTTCTTGTCTTTGCCATCATCTGATATCTTCCATTCCATGTTCCCCAACTCCAGGTAGCCCAGTATAGATCCTGCAGAAGGCTGGGCACTGTCTTCACCATGTTGCTTTGATATATGCTCAGATGTTTCAGAACTTGCTAAGCCCTGCCTCTCTTGGGGCCTGGAGAGGGTACCAAAGTTCTTCTTGGAATATCCAGAGTTCTGAGGGTTGCACTTATGGAAAACATTCTGCTTTACCCTGCGGGCATCATAGACCACATGGCCAGTGGAGAGGCTAGGGTCGAAGGCAGGCAGAGTAGAAGGACTAGGAGTTAGGTTGGGGGTAGGGGTGATGATAGGGATAGGAGCACGGGCCAGAGGGGCCATGACTGATGCTGGGGCAGGGGTTAGAACAGGCATCCCAGTATGGGCAGAGGATTGAATTTGATGAGAATGGACTGGAGTATGTGCTGGGGTTTGGACTGATGTGAGCTCAGGCACTTGGGCCTGGGAGTGGGTCCAAACCTCCTCTGGGGTGTGGACTGGGTTGTGACCCTGGGAATAGGCTGAGGCATATGCAGGCACCTGGGCTGGGATGTGGAGTGGGATGTGGGCTGAGGTGTGTTCAGGGATAAGAGCCTTACAGTGAGTATACTGAGAGGTGTGGGCTGGGGTCTGGACTTGGGGAGCAGCTGGGACCTGGGCTGGGGGAGGGGCTAGGACCTGGGCTGGGGATGGGTCTGGGACCTGGGCTGGGGAAGGGGTTGGGACCAGGGCTGGGGAAGGGGCTGGGACCTGGGCTGAGGAAGGGGGTGGGACCTGGGTTGGGGGAGGGGCTGGGACCTGGGCTGAGGGTGGTGCTGAGGTGTGGACCTGGATTGCCGCGTGGGCTAAGATGTGAACTTGGTTTTGGGCCTGGGCCCTGGATGCGGTTTGGACTGGAGTAGGAGGTGGTATATGGGGTGGGGTTTGGGCTAAGACATGGGATGGGGTAGGGATCTGGGTAGGGGTTGGAATAGGAGCTGGAGCATGGGAGAGGGTAGGAGCTGCAGCATGAGATGGGGTAGCGGCTGCAGCATGGGCTTGGCTGGGGGCTGGAGTAGAAGCTGGGATCAAGGCTGGAGCATGAGCTGGTGGAGTATGGGTTGAAGTATGCTCAAGATCCTGGGCCTGGGCATGGATATACTCTGGGTTGTGGGTCAGGGACGGGATGGGGATGTGCTCGGGGGTATGGGCTAAGGAGTGGGTCCCAGCCTGGGCTGGGGTATGGTCTGGGCCATAGTCTAGGGCCTTAGTCTTGCCCTCTTGGGGTAAACAGATTGATACCATATCTAACTTGCTCATCTTCAGGAAGTGGGAGGAAATCTCTGGCCTGGGAAACATGGAGGCCTGGGTCTTCAAGGCTGTGCCTTGAGAGGCCTCCCCAGCTCCCATCATCCCCTCCTTCCACAATCCCCATTGAGCCTCCGTGGGAAGCCCAGCATGTCCACATTGAGGTGGCATCCAGCAGCACCCAGAAACCTTTTCATCATTTGTATCTGGTATCCAGGAGTCACGGTGGTTAGCATGACCGAGCAGGAAGCTGGGGCGACGATGAAAGTGGGAAGAGATTCTTGAATACAGATTCTTGGGATCTGTGGTGCAGCGCATATACACGGGCCTGCTGCCTAGACCACCATGTTGCTTGTCTACAGAGAGGAGAGATGGAACAAGGCCTGGGTGTCAGAAGGGCTGAGAAAAGGGACAGGGAGATAAGAAAAAATGTGACAAATCTACATCGCTGGAGCTCATGCTGGGACTCACTTACCTTTGGGAAAAAAATGATGGAAAAGAATCCGCAAGGAGCCCTTCAGATGTTTCCAGAGCTGAGGGAAGCAGGAGAGGAGAGATTCCAGCAGTAGGGTAAGCTCTGAAGTCCCTGTCTGACTACATCCTAGCAGCCCCCACCCCCCACTACTTCAGTCCCTTCAAGATCCCAGTGTCCCAACCCTGCTGCCCGGACCCTGCCCTGACCAGAATCACCACGTTGATCCCCACGTTGAGCAAGATGAAGCTGCCCAGAATCAGAAGAATTGAATCTCCTAAGTCCTGACACTTCCTGGGGTTGGTGCCAGAGCACATCTGGGCTCCATAGTAGACTCGCTCACCCATGGCCTGGGGTCCCAGGACTACCTGGGCCCCCTGGCCCCCACATACTAAGAGACAGACTCCTTTGGGGGGAGGGGAGAAGGCCTGAGTCATAAAGGGGTAGATGGTTGGAACACAATGAGAGAGGCAGAGGAAAAGGAGGGCTCAGGGTGGAGTTTCCTGGTAACCAGGTCCCAGTACACCTGAGCCTGGAGGCTAGTGTACCTCCACTTTTTCTCAATTATTGCCTCACTGAACTTTGTTCATTCAGCTCCCACAAACACTCCTCCTTCTTCCATCTTTCCATTATTCCTGTAGTTTCAGTAGAAAATCCAGAATCCTTTACCCCTTGACCACTCCTGAGACTGGGAAAACCTTGGCCTCAGAGCCCTAACTGGAATCAAGAGCCTTGGCCTTCATCTTGCCCTACATTGGGCCACTGACCTTGATCTGCCTAGACATGGAATCCCAGATCTGGAGTTAGTCTCTCTCTCTCTCTCTCTTACCTGTACAGAAGATTGAACCCAGGGCCTCGCACATGCTAGGCGAGTGCTTCATCACTGAGCCATATCCCCAGCCCTTTTTACTTTTAATTTAGAACCAGAATCTCACTGAGTTGCCTAGGCGAACCCCAAATTTGTGATCCTCCTATCTCAGACTTTTGGGTAGCTGGGATTACTAGTATGCACCACCATGTCTGTCTGACCTGAGTTTCTTGAGCAGGGCTGAGCCTCTGAACCCCTTTTGGGAATGGAGAACAGAGAAACGGGGTGAGTGCTCAGAGACTCATGGTTTGATGTCTGCAGCTGGGAGACCTTAATGTATGGTATAAGACCAGGACAATATATTTTTTTTTTGTAGTCATAGATGGACATCATGCCTTTATTTTATTTGCTTATTTTTATTGTATGTGGTGCTAAGGATCAAACGCAGTGCCTCACACATGCTAGGCAAACGTTCCCAGCCTCAACCCCAAGGACAGTCTTGTTGGCAAGAACACGGCCTCATACCAAGAAGGGAACACTGACTTCTCATTTCAGGAATCCAAGGGCAGGGTCTCTATCTGGCAGAAAGAGAGCTACTTCCAAACCATAGACCACCACAATGTTTCCTGGACTCGGTTTCTCTTTATTCCTCTCTCCATGACCTGCCCAGCCACCCACATTCTCCTGCGGGTCAGTTAAGTTTCCCAGGTCGGCTCCTGTGTAGACAGGGCCTTGAGGTTGATGTGGAAGGTGGTGGCAGTGAGTTGGCCCGTACTCTGTTCTCCTGCACTTGACGCTTTAGCTCCAGGCTGTCGTACACCTGGTAGTTGGCATTGCCACCTGGATTCCTACTGAGTGGGACAAAGGTAGCTGGGACTGGGGCAGGATCAACAGCTTGGACTTCAGGCAGGGGCTGGGAGCAATGAGGGAGCAGGGCCGAGCTAGCAGCTGGGACCCGTTGATATGAAGCCTCACCCAACATAGTGAGGGAGGTGGAAGTGGTCAGAGGATGCCGAGGAGGCATAGCCTCAGCCCAGTCAGCAGCCCTGTGTCGCACCTCATGAGAATCCCGGGGGTTATAACCCAAATGTCCTATGGATGGGTATGGGCTGCGGTTGGGCTGGCTGTGAGCATGACCAGGGAGATTCCTTCTGTGGGATGGGGGCGAGTAGTGTTCCCGATAGCCCTGGGCCTCCTGCCGGGGGTTCCGGGACACCAAGGTAGTTGGGGGTTCACAGCCCTCTACACCACGCCGCCGCTGATCCCAAGCATCATACAGTGTCTGGCCTCCTGAAGAATAAGGGCTATGCCCCCCAGGGACCCAGGAAGGATTAGGGGGCAGCGGGCGGGGAGGTAATGGAGATGAGGTCCATTGCTCAGGCTCCATGTTGCCCCAAATTCGGGATTGTGAACAATGGGGTGCAGAGGACTGTAGCCTCAGCTCTGACTTGGCCTCCACACGCTTGGGTAAGAGGCGCAGTTCTGGTGACAGATAGATAGAGGGTGGTGGCAAGCTGGCCAGGATCCCACCTTTGCGGCCCCATAACCCCATGTTGGAGGGCAGTCCCATCCGCTGAACCCAGCCTGGGTTCTGGGGATGTGGGAAGGACAGATCCTCCTCATCCAGGTAGGAGTCCCTGTCCTCCATATCATAAAAGGGTATGGACTGCAGCTGTGACATCTTGCGGTTGTGAGTTTGGTTATGAAAGACTGGGCTACCATGGGAGAATTTTCTGTGGTTCCAAGGCCTCTGCTGTTGGCTGGGGCGGTAACGTTGGCGGCACTGGCGGCGTGGTTGGTACTGGCGGTGTGGTTGGTGGCGGCCCCGGTGGTTGTGGAGATACCGAGAGGAGGAAGAGGAGTAGCCTGTGGGTTGGGTCATCTTCACCTGTACAGGGTCCAGGACGCAGTGGATGTGGATGTCTTGGGCCTTGGCTGGGAAATGTTTGAGGGAACATTCAAAAGGCTGGACTTCATCTGGGGGAGGCAAGAGTGGGTGCAATTGCCATAAGAGTTCAGGTTAGGAATAGTGGGGTTTGAATTTCTGGGGCCATGGTAGTGGTCTCGGGGCGGGGAGGTGTCCTACTCTCTAGCTGCTATACTTACTTTTCTGCTTAATCCAATAGAAAATCTTGTCTAAGGCATTCTGGAACTCATGCCACATCTAGGGGTGGTGGGAGGGATGGGAGTGAAGGCCAGGCTCCCTACCTCCAACACCACCCACCCCAGCCCTAGTCAAGACCCGTCCTGCAGGTGGAGGTGCAAGATGCAGCTGGCTCCCCCTCAGCCCTCTTCACCCCTGGGGATGGTCCACAACTGTCACTGACCACAGTTGCCACGTTGATGCCAATGTTGACAAGAATGATAAGTCCCACCAGCAGGAATAGGATGTCTTCAGCATCCTGGGGGCTTTCTTGGTGTTGATTACAGCACCCCAGGGTGTCACTCCAGAGCTGGTTTTCCATGGTGGGGGGGTCCTAGGGCCACTTGGGCCACCCCCCCACACCTGGCCCCGACCCACACTGCATTCATGCCAGTACCTGGAGATATCTACCAGTTGAGAAGGGAGCCAGGTCATAATGAGGCAAGTTAGGAAGAGTCACAATGTAGAGGTAGTAGTCTTATTCACTCTGCTGGCTCTTCACTATCCTAGGCTCCTACTTGATATTTGGTCCCCAGATGCCCCTGAGGTTAGTCTATCCTTCTGTCTCCATGAGGCCTGCTTAACCACATACCTCATTCCTGATCTGAAAATAGGTAGCTACAGTCATAAGATAGACTCCACAGGGGTTGAATTATGTGTAATTCCCTCAGTTTCTGGTCATTTGAGATATAATGGCAACATGTGCAGCCTGTTGATGTGCCCCACTCCATGCTACTTTGGGGCCAGCAGCTGGGGTGACTGACTGGATGAGTGACAACAAGTGTCCCCTCTGGGTTCACTCTGCTATAACAGTTCCTCCCTATGCTGACCATTTCCCTGTCATAATCCCTGTAGCACACATCCCAACCCTTCCTGGCCGGGGTTTGCAGCCCTGGACATTAGTGGTCCCTGAGCCCTTTGGCTTCTCCACTTCAGAGTCAGATGGATTTCCATCTTGATGAGGTTGCTGCCCCCTGCCAGAGACTCCAACTATAGTTTCTCTCCTTCCAAACCAACTATCCTCTTATTGACCCATCCCCCTCTAAGTTGAAAAACTGGTTAACTCCCACCTTAAAGAAATGACCAAAACACAACATAGATGTTATTGTTGATGTGATGAATGGAGACCTCCATGGAAACGAGGCTCAACATTGCAGTCTGTAAAAATGGTACCCTGAGGATGGCAAGGCCGTTGGTCCCACTGTCAACTATGCAGCAGAAATGGAGGAAAGGCTGATGAGCATTTCCAAAAAGGCCTCCAAACACATGGTAGATGCTTAGTATGTACCCACTGAATGGAAGCAGCCTGAAATGATCAATAATATTGGTTGAATGTAAATGAATGCAAATGTACAGAGAGATAGGGTGATCCACAGATCTATTCACATCCAGGAATCCTTCTAGCAACACTTTAGCATAGTGTTCCCAAGCTATGTGTGTGCATGTGCCTGTGACTCTAACATTCTAGGAGTAGAGCCATACCTTGGTTTCCTTGCTGCCCAGTGAGCAGAATATTCTGATGAGGTCATGTGGTAAATTGAGGCAGGTGGGAGATTTGGGTAAGCTGACGCAGTGGCAGTGGGAATCTATCTACTTGCAAGAGAAGGGGAATGGAGTGTCTGAGGCCATGAAATTGAACCTTGGTACCTATGTGACCATGATTAAGTCACTCAGTCTCTCAGAGCCTCATGCAACGTGGAAAGGATTGTGATGTTATGGTGAAGTACCTCTTGAGAGCATCTATAATATTTAATCTTCTGTTCCAAGACTCATGGAGGGTACAGGAGCATCAGGTTCTTCCTGGAGAAATACGAGGGACTAGAGACCCTCCCTCTTAGTCATCCTCGCACAAGAAAATCAGGGTATAAGAAGGAACTATGTCTCCCCTGGGGCTGAGGCCTAAACCTGGCCTGGCAAGAACTGGACTTCTGAGGAGCTAGGGCCATGGAGATAGGGAGTCTCTCTAGTGAAGGGCTATCTGGGGGTCTGGGGCCAGATTTGAGAGCGTCTCTGGACACTTAAGAAAATAGGATTGGCCAGGCAGTGGTGCATGCCATAATCCAAGCAGCTTGGGAGGCTGAGGCAGGATTATATTATCACAAGTTTCAAGCCAGCTTCAACAACTTAGTGAGGCCCTTAAGCAACTTAATGAGAACCTGCCTCAAAATAAAGATGTTATTGTTGACAGACAATATATGACAGAACCTGTCTCACTGTTCTTATGGCTCAGAGCCTCTGGGCTGGGAGGTGAGGGGTTCACAGGGTAAACATAGGCCTCTAGACCTAGCTCTGACTGCATCTCTATTTTGAGGGGCCTTCTCTCTACAGTGAGCTGGAAGTGGATAGTCTGGGAAAGTGGTTCCAGAATGTCCTGTGTCCAGGGATCCCAGAGTCTCTGGGTGGTTTGGAAGACTTGCCAATTCTTGGAACCATTCCAGTGGCGAGAGCAGATTGCTGGGTACTAAAAAGGGCTGGGGATGTGGTTCACTGGTTAAGCAGCGCCCCTGGGTTCAATTCCCTGTACTAAAATAACAATAAGAAAAATAATAAAAATAGGGTAGAGGTAATTAGAAGCCTTGAAACCAAGGAGGGCCATGGAAAAGGCCAAGGACAGGGCTTGAGAGGACAAAAGATGGATGAGGTTCTCCTGGGCTCTCTAAGGTCGTCTTACTAGGGAGATCATTCTCTTAACAACCAGGGCTTCTGGGTACCTTATAGGCTCTGCCTTCCACCCCACCCCCCCCACACCACCACAAACCACCTCCTCTCTCCTTTTTATTTTTTTCCCCATCACTTCCCCGTCAGGGGACGATACACCCAGTCCTTTCCTGTCCCCTCTGCAGCGCTAGATCCAGAGGCCAAGGGATAGCAGTGGGACAAGGCCTCCACCTCTCGGGTCAGTTCTCGAAGCCTCCGCCTCACATCCCGGGCATCATACGCTACTCGGATTGAGGAGCGGCGCTGAGGGATATCGGGGACATTCGCTGGGCCCAGGAAGGGCGGCGAGGCAGGCTGGCACTGTTCTACCTCAGCCTCTGCACCTGCCCCACTGTTCTTATGGCTCAGAGCCTCTGGGCTGGGAGGTGGGGGGTTCACAGGGTATACATAGGCCTCTAGTCCCAGCTCTGACCGCATCTCTGTTTTGAGGGGCCTTCTCTCTACAGTGGGCTGGAAGCGGATAGTCTGGGGAAGTGGTTCCAGAATGTCCTGTGTCCAGGGATCCCAGAGTTTCTGGGTGGTTTGGAAGACTTGCCAGTCCTTGGAACCATCCCAGTGGCGAGAGCAGATTGCTGGGTACTGAGGTGGGGGCTTCTCATCATCAGTGTCAGGAGCCCAAGCTGCTGGGTTGTGGACTCGGCACAATGGAGAGGCTCGCCGGCGATGTCGTCGTGTGGGTGGGGGGGTCACAGTCATTTTCACAGGGTCCATGGTGCATCGAAGATGGACTGCAGAGGAGCTCTCCTTCTTCGAGGGATGGGTCTGCTTCCCAGGTGAGGAGGAGTTAACAGCTTCTGTGAATCAGGGAGAGGGAGGCTGGTGGGGAGGCTTGCTCCTATAGTGAAGGGAGGCAAGGCCTGGGGAGAAAAGCTGCACCATTGTGGTGTCTCAGAGGGAAGAGCAGCAAGAGGCCAATTTAAGGCTGACAGACATACTTCTGTACCTTCTATGCCCCAACACCCAACCTTGTTTACCTTTTTCACAAATGATAAGGAATACCCGGTGTAAGATGATTCGGAGTCTGCTCCAGAGCTAGGTGTAGGAGGACATGGTGACCCCAGGCAGTTCCTTACCAGGTTTGCCCCCCAAGTTTGTTCCCTCCCACATGGCCCCCTCCTGACCAGGGTCACCATATTGATGATAATGTTAATGCAGATGATGAAACCCAGCAGCAACAGGATGGAGTTGCCCACGTCCTGGCAGCTGTTGGGGTTATCTGAATCCCAGCCAGGCTGTGGCCACTCAGCCATGGCCATGGCGGTCCCTAGGGCCACCAGGGCCCTTAGGCCCCCAGCCCCTGTGCCCACAGTGTCAACTGGCCCACCTGCCTTACCCAAAGTGTCCTGAGGGTGAGCGGGTCACAATGATGCTGGGACTCTCACAATGTGCTAAGGCACTAGTCTCAGAGTCTCTGGCCCAGGGTTGAGCCTCAGCTTGAGCCCAGACATTGGCAGAGGCCAAATCTTTCATTTTTATGCCTCTCCTGCAGCCAGTCACCTGAATCAGCTCACTGGCTCTCTCCCCTGTTTGGCATCTGTCCTGAGGCCCCATCTCTCATTCTAGAACCACACCAGGCTCTGGTCTCAGATATAGACCTGAGACTCAGGCATAAGCCTAAGTCCTGATCTCTCCAGGCAATCCCAACTTCACAGAGCTATTCACTGAAAAGGTCTAGAGGTTTGGACTCCAAAGGCTTGTTTCAGAGCCCCCCACCCCAACATAAGAGCAGGCAAAACCAACAGTTAAACTTTTATATTTACAATATTCTCTTCATCTTTTGCCAGGTTTAAAAATGTGTACAGAGCCGCAAAGGGTTGGGGTGGGGACATGGGACTGTCAGGGATTGTTCTGGAGAGAGGGGCTGGGCATTGGAGTCCGTGGCTGAATCATGGGGTCCCCCAGCCCCCCTCCCATGCCCTGGTTCTGGGGGCATCTGCCTACGGGGCTCAGGGCCCAGGTCGCTAGCATTTGGAGGGCATGGCTGTTCCAAGAGGAGCTAGACCAGGCAGGGGAAAGGGCCAGAAAAGAACTACGTTTCCATGGGTGGAGGTAGGAGAAGGGACAGTGAAGAGGCAATGTTCTGGGACTCACAACCAGGGATCCTGGACCTGGGTGCCAGTAGAAGATGGCATCCCACCCTTACTCAAGTTTGGCAGTAGCATCCCACAGAAAGCCATACAGCAGGCTGAGGATTCACCCTCCTCTATTGTTGTTCCATAAAACCCTTTCTTTTCTTGAAGGAGGGATTGAACTCAGGGGTGCTTACCACTAAGCAACATTTGTTTTATTTTTAATTTTGAGACAGTGTCTCACCAAGTTGCTTAGGGCCTTGCTAAGTTCTTAAGGCTGGTCTCAAACTTGCAATCCTCCTGCCTCAGCCTCCTCAGTTGCTCAGAATACAGGTGTGTGCCATTGTATCCAGCCCTTAAAACCCTTTCCTACATGGTTCTTTTCCTCAGAGGCACAAACCCAAGGACCTCTGGGCAGTAGCCTCACACATTTCCTTTCAAATTCTTCCTGCTGGTGTTTGAACAAGCCCTGTCCCCCATGGCCCCCTCCATCTGTTCCTCAGTGCAACTGACCTCATTCCCCAAGCTGTCCATGAAACCTTTTTCCCTGTTACCCACCCACCCCCCAAACACACACACATTGCTCTTTTCCTTTGGCCCTGGCAGCAAGGGGGAGGGGTAAAAGAAGGGTAGGGGAAAAGACTGGTCTGACCCTGAGATGGGGACAGCTTCAAACTGGGAGAAGGAGCTGGAGAATGGAGATCTGGGACAGAGAGGGAGGGGTGACACAGGAATCAGAGTGACAACAGGGGGGCTCCTTAGCTGCCACATCCCCCTACCCTGTATCCTACCTGCTCCCGTCGTCTTCTCTGCCCTAGCCTGGGACTGTGAAATCCTTGGCACATTTTGAGTCTTTCTCTCCTCCTCCAACCCACCTACCCAGTTTGGCACAGATGAGCAATGATCTGAGGACTGAAGGAAAGGCTGTCCTCAGGCCCCAGGAGGGCTTTGGTCAAACATGCATGGCCTCTGTGGGTGGCATACGCCACATTCCCTGTCTACCAACTCAGCATCTCTGGGAGAGGGAGGTCCCCAGCCTTTCCTCAGGGTTTGTACATCCCCCTCAGCTTAGGTTAATCTGAAGTCTGTTCCCACCTGCCATGTGAGGAGTGCTGGGCCTGAGGCTGGGGGGGATGCAGGGAAGTGCTGGGGAGAGAGGGACCCTCTGCCTGGGAAAACACACATCCACATGCAAGAACATGTTTCCACTCAGAGAAATGTATCCTGGACCATGGGAGAATTAGTTTCCAGGCAGCACCGGGATGCACGGATCTCCCTTCCCCCTGGCAGGAAATCCGTGTCTGTCTGTATGGAAGGTGAGGGCCTCCCTGGGAGAACGTGCTTCATCTGACTTGTGCCATGGGGGAGAAACATGCTTTGCTGGGGTGGAGGGGGGAGAGGAGGCGGGGGGGGGGGGGGGGGGGGGGGGGGGGTGTTTTTTTCCGCGCCCCGGGCCCCCCCCGGGTTGGTGGGGGGGCCGGGGGCGGGGGAGGAGAACACAGCACTGCCGGGGGCTCCGGGGGGGGGGGGGGGGGAGGAGGTGGGAGAAGGCATGAGGAAACAGGATTCTGGGGTACAAATCCCCGCAGAAATTCTTTGAGGGGGCCAACATGTGTCTAGGGCGGCAAAAAAAACCTCACCCTGCACATGGGAAAATACCCCCTCATGAAGAAAGCACACCTCCATATGGGAAAAGACTTCCACATTTCCACACACTGAAGACTGGTGTCCCAGTGGAGGGCAAAAAACACCCCCCAATGTTCAAAGGCCCAGGTCCAGAGAAGAGAATGGGCCTCTTTGCATGGGAAAAACACGCATCTCAGTGGGGAATCCCATGTCCACCTTAACACTGTTCGATGATGTGTGACAACTCCACAGGAGAAAAGCCCGTTGCCAAGTCCTACTCCCTGCCTTGGAGTGGCCCAGGCTGGGGAGGGGTGGGGAGGGTGGCCTCCCCATGCCGCCCCCTATACCCGGGTGGTGGAGTGAGGATGGGGTAGCGTGTTGTTGTGGCTGGTAGCGGTGGAGGGCGGTGGGGGAAAGGGCCCAAAGGGATGGAGGGAAGGGGGTGGCGGGGGTGGTGGTGGCCCCAGGCCACTGGGCAGCAGGGTTAGGGCCCTGGGGGCCAAGAGAGGCACATCGTCCGGTGCCCGGCGCAGGGCCAGGGTGTAGTCGGGTGGACAGGCAGGGCGCAGGGCCTCAGCAGGGTCCGCCCCAACGCCACCACCCTGCTTCAGCTGCAGTGACACCAGCTCCTCCTCTGGGGGCAGCTCCCGGCCAGCAGTGGGGAGCAGGGGACCCCCACCAGGCACACCAGAGCCTGAGCCTCCAGGTGGACTAAGCCGCCTGCATCGCAGTTCCTGCCGCCGGTCCCGCTTGTAGTAGAGAGCGGCAAAGGCCAGGATGTTGAGGAAGAGAAGGGAGGCGCCCACCGCCACAGTGACGCTTAGCTCTGTGGAGTAGTCTCGTGAGTCTCCAGGGAAGCGGTCATAGGCCCTTGGGCCTGGCTCAGGCTCAGGCTCGGGAGGCAAGGTTGCAGGTGGTGGGGGCCGGCGTGTGCCAGGGGCTCCAGGAGGCGGGCGGGGAGGCCAGCGTGTGGCATAGGGAGGCAAGCGAGTGGTGGTGGTGAAGAGCTCGGTGTGCAGATTGTGCAGGTGGGGCACAAGCTCCAGCCAGAAGGCCACCTTGTTGGCGCGGTAGTTGTCACGCACTCGTGGCTTCAAACCAATGTGTAGGTACTGCTTCTCTTTGCTGTTGAACTTGCTCCACACCACCTCCTCAAAGCGGTTGGGTTTGGTGTGGATGAACTTGGTGTCCTGTGGCACTGGCTGGTTGGGGTCACTGTGGGCATAGGAGGGCAAGGAAAGGAGGAGTGAGGGTGAGGCTCAGGCTCCAAGGAGGGTGGGGCTGCAGAGGGGAAGGAAGAGGAGAGAGATGCAGAGACAGGGAGACAACAAGAAATCCAGAGAAAAAGTCACAGAGGTAGAGACAATACACGGATGTGAAGAGACATAGAAATTGCCAGAGACAGGGCCAAAGAGACAAAAAGGATAAAGACAGATCACCAGAGACAGCCAGAGATGAGGTCAGAGGGACAGAGACAGACCAAGAGAGAGCCATAAGAGGCAGAAGCTGAGACCAAGAGAGACAGAAAGGGAGAGACAAAAATATATGAGAGACAGCCAGGGTGAAAGCTGCCAGCAGACAGAGACAGCATAAAGTAAACAGACCAAAGAAGGAAGAGGAGCCAGGTGCTATGGTGCATGCCTATAATCCCAGGTACTTGGGAGGCTGAGGCAGGATCGCAAATTCAAGGCCACCCTGGGCAATTTAGTGAGACCCTGGTTCAAAATGAAGTTTAAAAAGGGTTGTGGGAGGGGATATATATAGCTCAGCTGGTAGAGTGCTTGCCTTGTATGCACAAGGCCCTGGGTTCTAATCCCTGGCACCACTAAATAAATAAATAAAAAGATCTGGGGGTATAGTTAAATGGTAAAACACCTCTCTCTGGGTTTAATCCCCAGTAGCATGCAAAAAGCAAAAACAAGAAAAAATGTAAAGTTTTGGGGCTGGGGATGTGGCTCAAGCGGTAGCGCGCTCGCCTGGCATGCGTGCGGCCTGGGATCGATCCTCAGCACCACATATAAACAAAGATGTTGTGTCCGCCGAAAACTAAAAAAAAATAAATATTAAAAAAAAAAAAAGGGTTGTGGGAGCTGGGTGTGGTGATGCATGCCTATAATCCCAGCAACTTGGGAGGCTGAGGCAGGAGGACCCCAGGTTCGAAGCCCCCCTCAGCAACATATTGAGGCCCTAAGTAACTTACTGAGATCTTGTCTCAAAATAAAAAATAAAAAGGGCTGGTGATGTGGCTCAGTGGTTCAGTGCCCCAGAGTTCCATCTCCAGTACCAAAATAAATAAAATTTAAAAGTTGGGGATAGGGGCTGAGGTTGTGGCTCATGGATACAGCGCTTGCTGCCTTGCACATGTGAGGCACTGGGTTTGATTCTCGGCACCACATAAAATAAGTAAGTAAAACAAAGGTACTGTGTCCATGTTCAACTATAAAAATTTTAAAAAATAAAAAAAATAAAAGTTGGGGATATAGTAGAGTGCTTGCCTAGTGTCTCCTGATTTTGATCTCAGTATCATAAAGGAAGAGGAAAAACAAAAAGAGGACAGAGGGACAGAGGGAAAGGGAGAAAAGTCAGTGGATTTCAGGAGAGTGGCAAGGCATAGAAACAGACAGATACAAACTCTTACATACTTAGACACAGACCACAGTGGTCACACAGAAGCAGAGCACAGAGTGGGGGCCGGAGGAGGCCAAGGGAGGAAGAAAGACAGATACCAAGCTAATGCTACCAACTGAGCCCACCCCCAGAAAGAACAGGGACCTCTCTGTCTAATTCTGCTGAATCTCTAACCCTCACCTCAGTGCCTGGTACAGATAAGGTGTTCAGCAGTGTCTGAATTGGTCTCACTTAAGCAAAGGACAGCAAGAGCAAGTACTTTCCTGGAGGAATGATGGCCATGTGAAGAAGGGAGGGAGGGAAGGACAGAGGACCAGCCAAGGATGGTGAGGATGCCTCAGCCTGCAGCGCGCCCCACCCAGCCCCACCAGCCCCTTTGGCCCTCACCCAGTCTTGGCGAAGTTGGTCCAGTAGGTCATAACAACTGCGCTGAGCATGACGTCATTCTTGGAGAAGTTGCAGGGGAAGAGGTCAGTGGCACCCACCATGGGCACACCAAAGACATAGGGCAGCTCATCTCCATGGGCTGCATCTGCCCACTCTGGCCGGCCCTCAGCCTGGCAATGATGGTAGAAGGTGTAAAAGTAGACAGGGGACTGGTAATCAGCGTGCAGCTTAGCAGTGGCCACAGCTGGGGCCACCCACTGGTGGTCAGTAAAGAGAGCCAGCAGGGTTTTTCGTCGCATCTCGCCATTGTCCCGGTCAGCCCAGTCTGTGTACATGAACTTGATGGTCTCCCGCAGCACATCCTTGCCTTCCGGGTAGCCATACAAGTTGTCCACGAAGTTGGAGACAGTGAAATCAAAGGCGCTGGCGGACACACCATCCTCACTCTCTGCAGAGTCCTCCACAAACTTGAGGCCCTCTCCCTGATTGACACCGATAAGCATGTCGTAGTTGAGGAATTCTCCCTGCTGCATGAGGATCTCAGGGTCATCGGGGACTACATCGCCGTCCACCACGGGCCCAAAGGCAATGTGGTAGCTAGGGAGAAGGGGGCAGGGTCTCATCACCTGCTCAGTGGCCTCGTCTTGCCCCATGGCCCTATAGGCCCACATGCAGGTACCCCCTGGAAAACCCTTCTCCCCTATTTGAAGACCTCCTAGAGTCCTTCAGGGCACTTGACCTCTCCGGAAGTCTTCCAGAAACGTTTCATGGTACCCTGTGCTCACTTACTCTATTTGGCCACCTCCATTGAGGAAAGGCCGTTAAGAGGCCAGTAAAAGGGCCTGAAGCCCACCTCTCCTTGCCCAGTGGAATGCCCACAGGCACCTCTCACCTCAACCTCCTTGGAACCAGCAAGGAGAAGTGAAGGCCTGGACCTGGCCCTCTCCCACCCCCATACCGGGCAGGCTGCACATCCTGGTCCACCAACTCCCGAGAAGGCTTTCTGCGCAGACACTCCACAGCTTCGGCACTGTCCTCCCGGTCACAGCCCACCTTGGCTGCCAGCAGACGCGTGTACTTGAGTGGCTGGTAGTTGACAGACCAGCTGGAGATGGCGGTACCACTCTGGGCAATGGCCTTCTGGAACAGTCCTGGCAGGAGAGCAAGATGACCTCAGGCTATGCCATAATAGCAAAAACCAGAAGGGGGATCAGGTAGGGTCAGAGCTATGGGAAGCAGGGCAGGCTGTGGTACCTTCTGAATGGTGGGAGAGGATCAGCAAGTTGACACAGGAGGCCCCTGCTCCAGACCCAAAGATGGTGATGCGCTCCGGATCACCCCCAAAGTGGGCAATATTTTCACTAAGCCAACGCAGGGCCTGGATCTGGTCCAGAAGCCCATAGTTGCCTTTTGCAGCCTGATCCCCAGTGCTGAGAAAACCTGAGGGTAGAAGAAGAAAAGGAGCTCCCTGGAGGTGTCACAACATCCATACCCCCTTTCCAGGCAGCTCAATCCAGCCCAGAAGCAATTTTGCTGGGTTTAGAGGAGCACTGCCCACCAGGCCTACCTCCCAGACCCCGCCCCCCCCCCAAAGTTGACTGCCCACCCTCACCGAGCACCCCAAGACGGTAGTTGAGCGTGGCTACGATGACATTGCCATAGGCGGCCAGGACTGAGCCATCGAACATATTCCCGGTGCCCTCCATGTAGGAGCCTCCGTGCAGAAACAGCATGACAGGTTTCTTCCCAGAATCCCGGATATCTGCGTGAGGAGGGGGCAGCAGGTGGGCCAGGGGATTGGGGATAAGGACACAGTCAGACCAGAAGCAGCACTACCCAGCTCCCAGGTCTGCTAAGGACCATCCAGGAGCACAGGGGACTTGTCACTCCCATCCCTGGGGGGCAAGACCGGATTCCCCTCCCTCCCCCTACAGCTAGCCCTAGAGAAAGGTCCCTCACTACCCCTGGCCAGGCTGTCCCCAATCACTTTTCCAAATGTGGGGCAGACCTCCAAGAAGCCCAACAGAGGCCGGGGGGTGGGAAGTGGCCCTCCTCAGGACCTATGCTGGTTCCAGCAACCCCCTCCCCACGCGGCAAATCTCCTTCCTGCACCTGGAAAGAGTGCTCTCGGGCTGGAACTAGGGTTAGAAGTGCTGGGAGGGTCCTGCCATTTCCTCAGAGTCAGGCCTTGGGCCTCAAGCTCCACATGGCACCCTGGTCTGTGGGTGAGGGGGTGTCAGGCCCTAGGGTCCCTGGGGGCTTGGTCTCCTCCCCGCCCTAATTCCTTTCTAGGTCACCTCCCTAGTTACCATAGCAACCCCCAGCCTAATTACTGTGGCAGGAGGAGGCAGGGTGGGAAAGAGCCTGCCTAATGAAGCCAGGGTGCAGCTCTGAGTCTTAGACACCCATAAACTGGCCTGAGCCCTAGGTCCTGAACTAAACTTCTTTCTTGCCATCTCCCCAAAGGATCCCTTAATCGTTGCCACACACAGTATGCCCTTGAAACACTCAGGACAGGACTGAGAGGTGAGAAATTCCTGAAGAAAGTGGGAGTCTGAGAGGGCTTGCCAGGTCCTCAAGCTAGATAGTTCCCTCTTCTGCAGCTCCCCCCTGATCTGCATAGTGCCAAGGGCTGGGATCACCCCTGGCCCACAGGCCCTCCTGTGTCTTAGCACCTGCCATGCCTGACTTGCCTGGGTACTCCATCAACTGGAGCCAGGCCTAGGTCCCCACAGTTGGTCCCCAGCACCTCACCATCTTTCTCATCCTGGTAAAAACTAACTTTCTGACAGGTCAGTCTGCAGGTCACTAGGACATTCCCTGTCACTTGTACCAGCCAGCTTCCAGTCTCCTCTTAGGCTTTCTCTATAGTCTCTGGACTTCTTCAGCCAGAGCTCCCAGGTAGGCAGCTTCCTCTCTGTGTCCTCCCCAAATTCGCTTCTCCCTTTTTTTTCTGACTTTCCAGTAGTTTCTCCTTCCCTTCAAGGTCCTGTTCTAAATGTCTTTGGTTCTCCCCAACCCTCCCCGTACCCTTTTCCCAGTGTGTGGGGAGGGGAGTCAGAAAGGGAAGGAGCAGGAAGAGGGGCTGGGGCAACAAGAATTCAAAACCAACAACAAAAAACAGGATCAAGAAAGAAGAAAGAAAGAAAAAAACAACAACCAAAAAGCAAGAAGCTCTTGGGGCAGATTCAACAAGAAAAGAAAAAACAACAACAAAAAAAAACTCCATTTTGGAAAAAAAGAAAAAAGTTCTTTGCATTTTTTTTTTCAAAATTTTGTGGTGAAACTTCAAGATATTGGGCCCTGTTTTTCAAAAATTTCCAAATTCTTTGATTCACTTAGAATGTTTGCGTTTTCTGAGTCTGACAGGCTTTTAGAAATTGTAGCAGGTTCTTAATATTTCAATTGTGTCATCAATTTGCCAACTTAAAATTTTTTTCCAAATGTTATTTTGCTCCAAATTAAATTTTTTTTCCAAATATTACATTTCACAAGTTTCAAAGTAATCCAAATTTCTTTCAAAGTCTAAATATTTTATCCAATTCTTTGTTGTTTCTCTGACATTCCAATTTTTTTTTTTCCACCTTATTTTTGCCATGGTTAGGTTTTCTTGCAGGTTTTCTAGTGGGTCCAACATTGTTCAAATTTCGTTTGAAGTTTTCATAATTCTTTTTTCCAATTATTAAAAATTTTTCTTTTCTTTTCTTTTTCATTTTTTTTTTTTTAGTTGGGAGAACAACTGAGGGGCCTTGAGGGCTGTGGGGACATTTAGTTAGGGGCAGGGCCATGAAAGTCCTCTTATAAGCAACCACATGCAGCAGCGGGATTTTTAAATCTACCTGTGTCTGGCGGATTGAGCGTCGCCTCGTCACGTTTTTTTGTGAGCGGACCTAAGACCGGGAACACAAAACAGAGAAAAAAGGACAATTTTGTGGGGAAAGATGGGGGTCGGGGGGAGGTGGTGGATGGGGAGGGGAGGAGAGAAAGTAGAAAAGGGGAGGGTGAGGGGAGGCAGAAAAAATAAGCCAAAAAAAGCAAAATTTGTTTGCAAGAAAAAGAAACCAAGAAAAGAGAAAAACGTTTCTACAACCCAATTTTGTTCCCCTCCCCGGAAAAAGTCATGCCCCAAAGAAAAGGTGGGTTTTGGGGGGTGGGGTGCCTGCGTGGGCTGAGGCCTGTCTTAAGACATATTGACTTGGCTGGAAAGGATTTGGCTTGTTGGTGTGTTTGCTAATTGCTGGAAATGAAACGGATGTTAGAGTGGGGTGGGAGGGGAGAGGAAACCCCAGGAGACCAAGGCCAGCTTGCCACCCAGGCCACCTCTCACAAGGCCCCTTCAGGGCCAGCCAAGCACTGCCTGCTGCCCGACCCAGGCTGTAAAGAGAAGAGGCTGCGCAGAAAGGACTTTGTATCCTTCTGGACAGCTCTGGAGGGCAGAGGGCAGGATGGGGCTGGAGGGCAGCCCACCCTGCTGCTCACAGCCTTCAGAAGCCCTCTGCTCCCCACTGGAGGGCTATGGGAAGGTCAGATAAGGCTGCCCACCCTCCTACCCAGCCTCACCGGCCAGCATTTCTCTTCCATCCACACTCTGGCCTGGCTTCTCACCCCATCTCCTCAGTGTGGGCAAAGCAGGGAAAGGGGTCATCAGGTCTTGCCCTCCACTCCAACTCATCCCTCCACACTCCCACCAACCTCATCCCTTACCCAGGCCTCCTCTCCTCCCACCAAAGTTGAGAGCTTCCGACCAGGACCACCCCCAGCCCCTGCTCAATTGCCAAAAAGCCCTCCTCCCCACTTGAGGGATTCAGCCCACAATTAGGGAACAGGAAACATAGTGCCCTGAGCCACCTTAGCACCCAAGGTACCAGGGGCAGAGGGTACTGGGTGGCACAAGGTGTGCCCAGAATCAGGAAAAGGCCCCATACTAGGCTCAGAGATTAGCACCAGGCTTATTTCAGATTAGGGGATCAGTTAGGGGACAGCTAGAACCTAGAGGCCTCAGGGGGTTCCCCCGGGTGATTTTTTTTTCCTGGATAGATTGTGGAGTCTGCAAGGCCCAGGGTAGCTCTAGAAGATTTCTCCTTTACTGGCAATAATGGCCCCATGAGGACCTACTGGGAAAAGGGCCTCTTCTTTGAGAGAGGGTGTGGATGAGGATGAAGTCAGCAGGGCATGCATGCATGTGAGAATGAAGTGAGTGTGTGTGTGTGTGTGTGCTTGAGTCAACCTTTTCCTCCCAGAGCTGGTGTGAATATTCAGTGAGATCACCTGAATGTGTCAGGTTCCAAGCAGGTCTGCAATAAGCAATAGTTAAAAATACAGAAGGTGTGGGCATGGGTGTTGTGGGGCCAGGGGCCAAATCATTTGTGTGGAGGTGTTGAGGTAGACAGTCCAGTGGTGGAAAGTACTGAGTGTTTTACTGGGGGAAGAACATAGGGTAGAACCTATGTAAAAGTGTGGAAGTGGAGAGTCCACAAGCAGGAAGTGTTGAGATGGACAGTCTGGAGGTTTGGGGGTAAAGGACTCACAAGACATTGGGATAAGTGGTCCACGAGAGGGAGAGGAATGTGTAGTTTTCTTGTGAAGCATGGTTCCTTTTATTAAGAAACTGGGGAGGACATATGGAGTATGCGGGAGTAAATAAATGGTCTATGAGGGAATAGGGTGCTTAGATTTTTTTTTTTTTCGGGTACTGGGGATTGAACCCAGGGGTTATATCCTTAGCCCCAGTTCTTTTTTGCTTTTTATTTTGAAACAGGGACTAAGTTGCCCAGGCTGGCCTTGAACTTGAAGTTCCTCCTGAGTGGCTGGGATGAGCCAACCTTGCTTGGCTAGGATACTTAGAATTTGGATGCATTAAAGTCAAAGTTTCTGTGCACTGTGTGTATAGGTTGTTGGGAGCATGGTTTACATGGAGAGGGGTAGTTAGGAGGTTAGGTACACAGATGGAATGAGGGATACAGGGTAGATTGTCTATATGGGTTGTGAGTGGGTTGTGAGTGGATATGAGTGGGTTGCGGTGCATGAGTTGTTCTATGATTGGCATGAGAGGATTCTGGATGCAGATGCAAGGTGTTTGAGTTGATCTGTACCATCCCTCAGGTGTTGTTACCATCTGAGGGATGCTACAGGTGATCTCTAGATAGGATGTATGGCAAACAATCTGTAAGAAGTGTTGAGGGTGTTGGAGACTGTGGCACAAGTAATCTGTTGGAGCACATTGTCCAGGTATGGGGTCACAGGGCTATAAGGTATATGTGTATGTTGCTAGGGCCCATGATCTCTATATATCTAGGGATACTGGGGAACACAGGCTGTGTGGGTGATGGGACACACAATTTCAAGGAAATGTTAGGCATGTGTACACTGTGAATACCTTGGGAATTGGGATCTGTGGGGTGTTGAAGCAAATGGTGAATGTATATGATGGCTGGGAACATGCTCCGTGTATTGAGTAGTTGAGACTCAGTCTATTATGACATTTGAGGACATGATGTGAGTTACAGGTTCCTGAGTACCCAATGGCCTAGGTATTTGGTTGTTTAAAACAGCATGGAGAGGGCTCTGTGGAGGTATTGGCATGTCTTGGAGTATCATGATGGGGTGTCAGAAGGGTAATGTGGGGGCTCCTTGTGCTGATTGTCTGTTGGGATAGCTTGAATCTGCCAGTTACCCTCTATCATAGACAAGTGGGAAATTGTTCTGATTAATCCTGGTGTGCAGCAGGTTGGTGGGAGAATTGTCTGGGGGTGTATGCTGGAACTATAAGCAGTCCTGTAGTGGACAGGAATTCATTAACCTGAACAGTAGCTGGTTAGCTCCAGGAAGGAAGTTTGGGCTGTGTTGAGTGGAGGTGCCCTTGGCAAGAAGCTTTCCTTCAGGGATTCATAAGAATTTTTTATGAGACAGAAATCTCCCACAAGAAGGTGTGAGAGCCACTACCAGATCAGGTTAGGGACTATGGGGGCCACATGATAGAGGGATACCTCTTCAGGCTGCCTGGGGTGGGAAGGGTGAGTAGGAAGAGCCCACATTGTCCTTGAGGTGTAGTGTAGCTAAAGTAGGTATGCCAAGCCCAGGCCTAGAAGCAGCAGGTGAAGCAAGGCTGGAGGGGGCTCTGAGCAGGTGATGGATTGATTACTTGAACACCCAGTGGCTACATTGAGATTGGTGCCTGACTATGTGCCTCTTTGGGGAAAGGGTGGATGAGCCTAGCCTAGTGCCTGCTATCCTTACCATGGCTCTCCGAGGGCACAAAGAACTTCCAGGGTGGCTGTGTGTGGGATGATGCTGGAGCAACCTGGCAGGCACCCTTACTTCTCAGAGGGTGTGCAGAGGTATAGGGACATACTGCCCCTCACTGCCCCCACCAAGGCCCAGCTCAGGGGCTAGGAGGTGGGCCAGTGCCTGAGGGTCTGTGTGTGAGTGTTTGTGGGCTGTGTCCACGGGATACCCGGCCTTGTGCCCGCGCCCTTACCGTCCTCAGTGGGCACGTAGAGGTTGAGATACAGGCAGTCCTCGCTCTGGTTCTGCACGTAGGTGGCGGCCGCCTCCAAGTTGTCGGTGAACCACACTGGCAGCATGATGGCCGGCAGCGCCCCGTGCAGGTTCTGCGGGCAGGCGGGCGGCAGGGTGGTGGCGTTGCGCACCCCGGGCCAGGAGGCGGGTGCCTCAGGAGGCTGGAATCGGCGGGCGCCCAGGGGCGGTGTAGCGTAGGGCACGCCCAAGAACTGCACGACCGGGCCCAGGATCTCGTTGTTGAGCTCGCGCCGCACACCGCGCACTCGCCCGTAGGCTGTGTTCACCACTGGGAAGCGCTCCTCCCCGAGGCTGCCAAGGCCCAGGCCCGGGCCGCCTGGGGCGCCGCCGGGACCCCCTCCCCCCCGTTGAGCCCCCGCCAGCCCCACCAGACACAGCGCCAGGAGCCACATGCTGATCGGGGGACCCCCCCTCCCTCCCCGGGACCCCCCCCCCTCGGAGAGAGAGAGAAGGGGGGGGAGAGGGAGGGAGGCCCCCCTCGCCCCAGGAGGGAGGAGGGGGCGGGGGACAGGAGGGAGGAAGGGGGCGGGGAGGGACCTGGGTTAGACGGGACAGAGAAGGGGTCTGTTCCTCTCCATTGAGGGGGCAAGGGGTGGGGAAGGGAAACGAGGTGGAAGAAGGTGAAGGCAGGCCCGACCTGCGGGAGGCAGAACAGGAGGGACAGGGTGTGCAAGATACAGACAGACGGACAGACAGAAAAATACGGAGGAGAGGTGGAAGAAGGGAAAGGAAATTGGATGGGGAGGACAGAAAGGAATGGGGAAACAGAAGAGACAAGTGGTTAGTGACTTGGATTTCAGACCAAGTTGCCACCCTTCTTCCACCCACAGGCCCCTGGCCCCTCCTCCCTCCCCCCAGCAGCCCTTCTCTCTTCAGCAGGGTCCCAAGCTAGAGGTGGGGTCAGATGTGGTAAAGGTCCTGTACAAAGTCGGTGGAGACCCAGGGGCCAGTTCCCCAGACCCAGCAGTCCCTTCCCAGCTTCTTTATCCCTCCCAGGCAGGCTCTCCCCAGGGACTCAGGAGTCCCAGTCCCCACCTCCCTGGGAGGGAATGAGACAGACAAGGAAGAGAAAATAAAAATACCAAGTCATTAATTAGCAGGAAGTGGCGGGTTTGTTTATACGTGTTAATTACTCCTGAGCTATAATTTCATGGCACTGAACCCCCACCCTGGGCCAGACTTGGGTCTTTCTTGGGACCGAACAGACCCAAGCTCCTTCTTTCCCCTTCATGTCATTCCCTAAGGATTTTGCAACCCTGAGACTCCTATCTCCCCAGCTTCCTTTCCTTCTTCATAAGTTGGGGTACCTCAAGGCAGGGGTTAGAAAAGGGAGGCGATACTGGAGGGGCAAATCCAGGGACAGATGCGTGATCCTGCAGCCGGTTGCCGGGCGACGGGATGCTGCCCCGCAATGTTACCTCGGCAACGGGGCTGCAGCTTTAACCCTGGAGGGGGTGTCTGGAGGAAGAGGGGAAGGGGCTGGCTTAGTTGTGGGGTCCATTCAGGGCATGATGGGGAGGGCAGAGGCGTGAGTCTGAATACTAGTTTTCCCCAATAGTAGCATAGATGAAGTATATATGTTGAGGGGAAGGGGAATCTGGGGGCATGGAGAACCCTAAAGATCCGCCTCTTGCCCCCCTTGCGAGCCAATCAGAGTTTAGTCCTAGTGACCAGGCCTCTGACTGGAGAGAAGGGGCACTGAAGTGGTTTGGAGGCATCAAATGAGCCTACTGACTGCCCCCTCCCACAATCTTGAACAGCTCTGGACCCCAGACACCTCCTCTTTCACTGCATTTTGACCTATGTCCTGGGGGCAAACCTTAGCTTTATTCTCCTCTCTTCCCATCCCATCCATTCCCCTTTCCTTCCCCTTGCCAGCGTCCCCACCATTGCTGCTCTGAGGCCTGTGTACTCAGGGCACCAGGGACAGGACAAGGGAAGAGATCAGACCCAAGGGGCAGATACCCAGGTCATTTCAGCAAGCCCCCCTGCCCCCCACCAGCCGCCTGAGCTGTTTGCTGACGCGGGGTTTTCAGAGCCAGGCGCCAGCTCGCGGGTGGCTCTCTGCAGGTGTCAATTTATTCCAGAGATGAGGACACAGGAATCCTTACCACTCACACCCAGCTATGCCCTCCCCCTCTTCAGATCCTCTTAAGCTCTGTTCCCCCATCCCCTGGAAGGGACTTGGGGTTGGCTTCTCCAGGATCTTTTTCCTATGCCAGGCTAGGCTCAGACACTGTGGCCTTGCTGTCCCCTCTTTCTCCCCCATGAGATAGTCTGCCTCTGTCACCCCTTCTCCCTCAGGGTACTTTGGACCCTGGCCTCCTCCCCTTCAACCAGCTTCTCTCCCTACTTCCCTCCCACTGGAGCCCTCCCCCAACATCTCTCTCCTCTCCATAGCGCTCCCTCAGAGCATCTTTCCTTGGCCTCTTCCAGCTTGCTCCAGCTCTTGCCTTCAGTCTCTCACCCCGCGGTCTTTTTTTTTTTTTTCTTCCCATTTTTCTCTTCTACATCTCTCCTTGGTATTTCTCTTTCTCTCTCCTCCAAATTTCTTCCTCAATTTTCTCTCTCAAGCTCCCTCTTTCTTTCCTGTCTTCCCCTATCTCAGTCTCCCCCATTTTCTCTCCCCATCTCTGTCTACCACATCTTGCTCCCCCTCCTTCTTCCCATCCCTCTGCCTTGCTCTCTCCATTCCAGCCCAGGCCTGACTCCCCCAACAGGGTAGAGTTGAGGGACGGGGGCTCAGGCCGCAGCCCCCCCCTTCCCGCAGTGGGGAAAATGGCTTGGCCGGGAAGGGGAGAAGGAGGGGGAGGGGGAGATGGGAACACACGGGGTCTGTGGGCCCATTCAAAGGATCATTCATAGACTGGAGAGAGGCAGAGACAAAGAGACCAAGACGCAGAGACACGGCGAGAGCATCCCTAGGCGGAGACACGCAGACAGAGCAGGCTGTGGGAAACCAGGCTCAGGGAGGGAGATGGGGAGAGGAGACCCCAGCAGACCACCACGCAGACCCCTCCACCCAGCCTGGCTTAGCTCCTACCTGGCTCAGCCCTGGGGCCGTGGTGCCTCCATCCAGGGCTCCGAGTGGGGGGCGGACGGGCTTCGAGAGGGGGGCGGCGGCCTCTGAGCCCCCGCGGCCCCGCAGGCCCAGCCCCCGCCCGCAGCGCCTCACCCGGCGGGGGAGGGGGATCGCCCCAGCCCCGGGGGGCGGGGCCGGGATCCAGTCGATCCCCGGGAAAAGGAGAGCTAGGGGATGGGATCAGGGGGAGCCCGAGAACAGGGAACCCCGCAGTGGGCACGGAAGAGCAAGGAGGGAGCAACGGGACAGGACTGGATTGGAGATCCACTGGCTCCGTGGGCCCGCTTCGAGGGACCAGAAGGCGGTCCAGGCGGAGGATCCTAAGGGATCGGATGCTGGAGGAGGAGTCCACGGCAATCCCCAGGGGCCCGGGGCCCCAGAGCGCAGGATCCGCGGTGCAGGGGCAGGGATCCAGCCGGAATCCTCGGGGAGGGGGAGGGATCTAGTCGATCCCGAGGGCGGGCGGGAGGGGGAGGTCCGGGGAGTCTGAGGAGGGCGGGAGCCGAGTCCGGAGCCTCGAGGCAGAGGTCGACGCGGCTCCTAAGAGGGAAGGCGGGGGTGGGAGTAGTCTTCGGGGGACGCTCAGCAGCCGGGAGGCCCGGACTCCTGGCTCCGCGCGCCAGAGCCCGCCCGCCCCGCGTCCATCCCAGCCCGAGAGTGATGATCCGCCGGCGGAGCAGCCGCAGCAGCCCCGCGCGTCACCGCGCGGCCGCCTCCCCCGCCCCCTGCCGAGAGAGCGGCGCACACCCCTTGCTCGCACCCGCCTGCCCGCCCGCCCTCCGGAGTGTGGGGGGATTGGAGACAGTGGAAGGGGGCGGGAGTGGACAGACGGACGGATGGACGTAGCCACCCGGGGCAGGGTGGAGACATTCCCCCGGATCTCCCACCCTCCGGGCTCTCGCAATCTAGGGAGGGGGAAAAGATCTGAACTACAGGAGGCGGAGCATCACGCGAAGAAGGCGGGGCCTATGGCAAGGAGGCGGGGTCATTCTTAAAGTGGGTGGGGTTTGGTGGCTATGGGTGGGGCTTGGGTGTCCATGAGACCACCTCTTTTGGGAGTGGGTCTGATTTGAAGCTGAACAGGAGGAGCCTGTGGGAAAAGGGGCGGAACTTTGAGTGGGGACCGGGATCCTCGGAAATTAGCCAGAGGTGCGGGGCGGCGGGGGGGGGGGGTCGAGGAGGTGATCAACTTGGAAAGTGGGCCAATCCGTGACGCAAATCCTCTAGTTCCGCCCTCAACCCTGCTCCCCAGAGCTCCGCTCCTCCGCTCCTAATTGGTTCCAGTTTCTCCGCCCGCCAGACATCTTCGCCACTCAGCAGCTTTTTTACAAAGGCGTAAGTACCCGGGTGAGGACCTGGACGCTGAAATGAGCACGGCCCTGATTGGGCACCTGTGGACTCTATTTGCATGGGCAATCTGGATTGGCTGGCCTCTTGGGTGGCCTGGGCGGTGTTCCTCGCGCGCGTGACCACCGTAGCCATGGTCGGACTTGGGGCTGCTTTCCGCCGCCTTGGTGCCTTGTCCGGAGCTGGGGCCCTCGGCTTGGCTTCCTACGGGGCGCACGGTCAGGGGGCTGGGGATACAGCTGGGCTGTGCTGGGGGCGACCTATGGGGTCTGGTGCAGAGGCGGAGCCTATGAGAAGTCCCGGCTTCCCATCGACCGCACAAGCCCGCGGTGCCCTAAACCTTTAAAAGTCTCTCAGCTGGTCTAATTGGTTCCCATTGCTGCCCGATATGTGTTTCTACCAACCGGAAGCTTCCTGGGGGCGCCCTTTTTTCACCAAGGTTTGCCCGGGTCCCCCGGGATTGGGGACAGTCGGTTCTGGCAGTAGATCTGGTCTGGTAACCTTTGCCTTTCTTCTTCACAGGCGCTCAGTTCCCGGACGCCTACGGGAAGGAGGTGAAGTAACTGCTCTGGATCTCCCCGACTTCCTAGTTTATGAAGGCAGAAAGTCTGGGGTCCCCGAGGAAAGTTGTGGGTGGGGGCGAAAAGCGTGGATTTCTGGAAGCAGCAAGGGCCACAAGACTGTAGCGTGGGTACTTGAGGGAGCGGAGCTGCAAGCTGGAACTTGGAGGGTGTGGGCGGAAGAGACCAATTCTGGTCCTGTGTGTCAGTGGGATCCCTGGCTCCTGTGTTGTTTATGAAGTCCCCCATGTCTCTTTTTCTTACAGCTCTTTGATAAGACCAACAAACACCATTTCATACACAGCCTGGCCCTTTTAGGGGTACCTCATTGCAGAAAGCCTCTCTGGGTAATCTGTCCCTCTACGTAACGTTGACCAAGCCTATCCACTCTTATTTTGCAGTTCTTACAAGCTTCTATTCTGTTATTTTCTCCTTCAGGCCGGGTTGCTGCTAGCCTCTGGAACCACCTTATTCTGCACCAGCTTTTACTACCAGGCTCTGAGTGGAGACTCTAGCATCCAGATGTTGGGCCCGGTGGGAGGGAGCCTGTTACTCATAGGCTGGCTTGCCTTGGCTCTTTGAGGTCTCTTCTGTTTAATTACTAATATATCTGGGTAATTTGGGGGAAAGTTGGGGTAGAAAGGGGATTAAAAGAGAAAAGCAAATGAAGAACTTTGAAATTTTTGTTCATTTAACCTTATGGAGCATGAAAACTCAACCTTTGAACTTCTTCCTGGAAGAAGTTCTAACACTTCTAACACTTATCATTGAGCCTTGGTTCTGGGGATTCTGTTCAAGTTAACTTGTGTTGATGGTCTTAAACCGGCAGGCATCAGAGTCATAAGGAATGCTCCAAATAATGCAGATTCTTACTGAAACCTTTTGGCACCTGAGAGCCTGCATTTTAAAAAGTTTATCAGTAGTTCTGATGTTCACTAGAATTTGATGATTACTGTAGGATTGTGATTCAGCTCTGTCATTCTACAAATTTCTCACCAACTTACTGTAAAAGTGGAGAGTTAAAACAAAGCAGGTCAGGAGGAGTATCATTGGTTATAAACTACTTTGCAGTGTAAAGCAGAAATAATATCATATATTGGGGAATCAGAAAATGCTTCACTACTTGAGGTGATCCTTAAAGGACCTCTCTTGTATGGAGGACATATAATGAACAAAGAGATTGAGGTGGGGAGAGGAAGGGTTTGGAGACAACATGAGTCTTCAGTGTGTGCTGAGTTTCTGAATTAGGCAGGAAACAAATGAGAAAAATTGGCAAGACAGACTGGACTGGCACAGCATGGAGAGAACTGGAAGATGTTTGGGAGGACAGCATTAAGTAAACCAGTGTTGATCTTGTATCAGACACACAAGAAGGTTCAGACATGAGCAAGACAGATGATGTCCTTTCCCTGATGGAGTTTCCCATCTAGCAGTGGAAATGGACTTTAAACAACAAAACACCCAAATATATCAGTTGTGCAATGTACTGAAGGAAAACAACAATGGAATAGCTGGGCTATAGAAGATACCCCCACCCTTTAGATGGGAAGACCTGGGGGTCCTATTGAAGGTGAACTAAAGATGGGCAAAGTGGAGAAGTGTATTCTAGGCAGAAGGAATAGTTGGCAAGACAAGCTGAAAGGGACAGCTCAAAATCCTTGTGACAAAGAGAAAATGTGGTGAGTTAGAGAAAGGACAAAACTAGTTCGCCTGTCATGTAGTGGACCAGGGGGTCCTGGATATCTGGTATAGGCCTTGCAGTGGTGAGTTGCTTGGACTCAATTTGCAGTGCAGTAGTAAGTCTCTGAAAGGTTTAAGTCATCCTTTTTAAAGTATCTTTTTTCCTTCCTTCCTTTTTTAATTGCCATGCAATTGCCATACATTGCGATTGTATCTTCTTCATATGAAGATGATACAATAAGGCCTCAGAGGAGACCCAGGGCCTTGCACATGTTAGGCAATTGTTTAATCACTGAGCTACATCCCCAGCCCTTTTTATTTTAAATGGCAGGGTCTTCCTGAGTTGCCCAGGCTGGCCTCCAACTTGGGATCCTCCTGCCTCAGCCTCCTGAGTAGTTTTGCACATTTGATAAAGTGTAATTTGTATATATATATATATTTTTTTTAAGAGAGAGAGAGAATTTTAATATTTATTTTTTAGATTTCAGCAGACACAACATCTTTGTATGTGGTGCTGAGGATCGAACCTGGGCCGCACGCATGCCAGGCGAGCGTGCTACCGCTTGAGCCACATCCCCAGCCCTGTAATTTGTATATTTTGAGGGTACATACTTAATTTTCCTGAAGGTATACATTAAAATAAATGTGAAGTGTGTAGACCCTTTCTCTAAATGACAGGATTTCTAAGTAATCTTATCTATTTCTAGGTATTTCATCTAGTCCCATATCTTTACTTACAATCTGCATACTTTTTAAATTTATCTTTTTAAAAATTTGTTCTTTTTAGTTATGATAATAATCTGCATACATTTTTAATTTTTTTTTCATTGTTGATAGCCCTTTATTTATTTATATGGGGTGCTGAGAATCAAACCCAGTGCCTCACACATGCCAGACAAGTGCACTACCGCTCAGCCCCAGCCCCAATCTGCATACTTTGAAATCCAGAATTTCTATCTTCTACCCTAATCTCCACTGAGTTCCACAGCCCCATACCAGCAGCCCTAAGTAAAAGTGTATCAGAGATCTGTAAGAATTCCTGGTGGCTGGCTTAAAGATTGAGAGGGCCAGGAGTGAGAGATGGGATAGTAAGGCCAAATAGTAGAGAGTCTTATAATGTGAGATTATCCTCTCTCCTGAGGGCAATGGGGCATTTATATCCAGGGAGGTGGCATGATTTGAGTTGTATTAGTAGAGGATCACATTTCTTCATTTGAAGACGATACAACAAGGCCTCAGAGGAGACCTCCAGAGTGAGTGGCCTAAAGATCTAGTGGCAGAGTGAAGGCTGGCTCCTCAGTCTCCTACTTCCCAATCCAGTGCTCTAGCATTTTCATCCATCTCAGATGGCATCTAGGGCAGAGAGGAAATGTCCTGGAGGAGACCCCAGGTATCTGCATTGGCCATCTTCCATGTAATGAGTTCCCTAATACCTTAGCTTTGGTCCTGTCAAGTGGCTGGGCTCTTGGGGGAACCAAGATAAATAAAGCTTGATCATTAGCCCCCATTATTACTATTGTGGTTTATTAAGTGAGGTATTTAAGTTAGGATTGGTATGGTCAGGTGTGACACAGTGAAGGACAGACAAGATTGGTGAAAAGATTATTACAGATCACAGAGAAAAGAGATCAGTATACTTCACAGGGAGGTATAAGGAAGGGAGTCCAGGATGCACATGCTCAACCAGCAAGTGGGAGCACTAGAGATGGACTTATGGACTGAAGTGGTTTCCCATGATAGAGCTGTATTAGATAATCTGAAGGGAGCACAAGGCTAAGTTGGAGGCAATCAAGGGTTATACTATATTGGATTCACCAGAACTAAAGTCAATGTAAACTTGTCAAATGGTTCAGGGTCTGGGACTTATCTACCTAGAACATAAAAAGGGGACTGGATGGAGAGTTCTTTGAAATATATAGGTCAAGGGAGACAGACCAAAAGCAGCATAACCAGATGGATGCCAAGGTTAGGGGTATAGCTCAGTGGAAGAGCACTTGACTATCACAAGGTCTTGTGTTCAACCCCCAACATCACACACACATAAAAAAAAGTGACTGCCAAACATTATAAATGAGGATTATGACAATTCCTGAACATTGTATCAGATTTCTCAACATTCCTGCAAGTTAGTAGAAGAGGAAGCTAAGGAAGATGCAGTGACTTGTTGTATATTATCCAGGTAGGATCTGGACAAGCTGTGATTTAAATTCTTCCCTGTTCAGCTCCCAGAGCTATGTTCTTTTCTTCTACAAATCAGGAAATTCAGATTTCAGCAGTGAAGATAGAACATCTAAAAAGATTAATATGTTGAGGCAATGTGTTCAGTGTTACAACTAGAAGTGGGCTTGTTTTGCCTTTGGGGATTGGCAATACTTCAGTTTGTTTCCTGGGTTTTTAGCATGAACAGGAAATAACTAGAAAAAAGAGAAATACAAATTAAAACTACACTGAGATTCCATCTCACTCCACTCAGAATGATAATTATCAATAATACAAGTAACAATGTTGGTGAGGACATAGGAAAAAAGGTACACTCATACATTGTAGGTGGGACTGCAAATTGGTGCAATCAACATATCAGTAATAAATCAAAAAGGAGAACAGTATATCAGAGTGGCCTAAAGATCTAGTGGCATACTGTATTGGGTGGGCAGGCAGAAAATGATCAGAGTAAGGTTGAATGTGTACTGTGCAGAAAGCTCTTCTGAGCCAAGTGAAAATCAACTTGGAAATTCTCTTTTTCTCCTGTGTCCACGCCATCATCAAGTTATGTGAGCTCAAGTGCATATCTGGAATCAGATCATTTCTCACCACTAACATTGCTGTCACCATGGTGCCGGGTCTAAGTCTATCAGATTGCACTTAGATTTCTTTAAGAACTTCCTCCTGCCTTTGCCTACCTACAGTCTTCACTTTTTTTGTTGTTGTTCTTTTTAGATGTAAATGACAATAGAGTGCATTTTGACATATCCTACCCTGGATAATATAGAACAAGTCACTGCATCTTTCTTAGCTTCCTCTTCTACTAACTTAGTATAACTTATTCTAATTAGGATCCCATTCTTATGGTCTTACATGATATGGAGTTTTACTGCTCATGTATTCATATATGAACATAGGAAAGTTATGTTCAATTCATTCCCTTTTGTCTAATCCAATGAACTTCTAATCCTCCCAACCCCCCATTGTGTGTTAGCATACACATATTAAAACATTCAGCCTTTGGTTTGGGAGGATGGTTTATTTCACTTAGCATGATATTTTTCAGTTCCATCCATTTATCTTCAAATGCCATCATTTCATTCTTCTTTATGGCTGAGTAATATTCCATTGTGTGTGTGTGTGAGTGTAGGTTGGTTCCATAGCTTTGCTATTGTGAATTGAGCTGTTATAAACATTGATGTGGCAGCATCATTATAGTATGCTGATTTTAAGTCCTTTGGGTATATGCCAGGGAGTGGGATAACTGGGTCCAATGGTTCCAAGTTTTCTGAGGAGTCTTCATACTGCTTTCCAGAATGGTTGCACCAATTTGCAGTCCCACCAGCAATGTATGAGCGTACCTTTTTCCCCACATCCTCACCAACATTTATTGTTACTTGTATTATTGATAATTACCATTCTGAGTGGAGTGAGATGGAATCTCAGTGTAGTTTTAATTTGTATTTCTCTAATTGCTAGAGATGTTGATACTGCCTACTCTTGACAGAGCAACCTGAAAGAGATCCTCATAGTAGAGATCCAGTAGTCCTTGACCTTGGCTATATGTTAAAATCTAGAGCATTCTTAAAAAGTTCCTATGCCTGCATCTCACCCTGTATATTCAAATTTAATCGATATCAAGTGAGATCCAGGCAGAGATGTTTTCTAAAACACTCCAGATGATTCTAACGTGTAACCAGGGTGGAGAACCACCATTTCACTGCATTTCAAGTTTCATGTCTTGCCTGATGCAGTGGCGCAGGTCTGTAATCCCAGCTGCTTGGGAGGCTGAGGCAGGAGGATCTAGAACTTAAAGCCAGCCTTAGCAATGGTGAGGTGCTAAGCAAGTCAGTGAGACCCTGTCTCTAAATAAAATACAAAAAAGGGCTGGGGATGTGGCTTAGTGGTTAAGTGCCCCTGAGTTAAATCCTGGATACAACAACAACAACAAAAAAGTCTCATGCCTCCTCTCTGTCTAAACCTTCCAATATTTTTTAGCTTAGAGTATAATCCAATAGTCCAGAAAGGCCTTATGTGATCTAGCTTCCTATCACCTCTGTGACCTTCATGTTGTTAACTCCTTTGTTCACTGAACAGGTAAGGCACACTTCTGCTGCAGGGTTTTTGCCCTTTGCTATTTCCTCTGCCTGATATACTCTTCCCCAGAAACCTTCCTGGCTCAATCCCTCCTTCAGGTTTTTGCTCAGCTATCATTTTCTCAGTGATGCCTTCTCTCTTTAAAAGTACAAACCCAGCAAGGTGCTCTGGTATGTGCCTACATTCTCAGCTACTATGGAAGCCCTAGCGGGGAAGATCCCTTGAGCCCAGCCAGGAGTCCAAAATCAGCCCAAGCAATATTTTTTTTTTTAAGCGGGTGGGGGTGGGGGGTGGGGGTTGGTGGCCAGGGATTGAACTCAGGGGCACTCAACCACCGAGCCACATCCCCAGCCCTATTTTGTGTTTTATTTAGAGACAGGGTCTCAGTTGCTTTTGCTGGGGCTGGCTTTGAACTTGCAATCCTCCTGCCTCAGCCTCCTGAGCAGCTCCTGGGATTACATGCATGCACCAATGCACCCAGCTCTGGGCAACATTTTTGAGACCCCTGTCTTAAAATAAATAAATAAATAAATAAAAATTGCAAGCCTGTGCTGGGAATGTAGTTCAGTGGTAGAGCACTTGCCTAGCATGTGTGAGGCCCTAGGTTTGATCCCCAGCATTGCAAAAATTAATTTAATTATAAACCCTATCCATCATTCCCTATCCTTATCCTGCTCTATTTGACTTTCTAGCACTTCTCTCCATCTGACTTTTCATCTGTCTTACTTATGTCTCTTCCCCAAAGAGCATGTGCAGTTTTAAAAAAGACAAACTTTTGATCTCCTTGAGCACATGTTCTATTGGGGAAGAGACATAAAATTTGGGTCTGAAGCACATGATGATTGAAGCTTTGGAAGAAGCTGAGCAGCCCTAGGACTAGTCCAGAGGAACATGGACATAGGAAGAGAAGGAGGTCCCCAAATGTGTTTATCCCTATGCTAATCTTTGTTGAGTGATCCTTGCATCTGCTTGGTTAATAGACAGGCACCTGAGGGAATCCTGGACTCCTCACCCCCCAACCAAATTCTAAATTATTGTCTAAATATCTCTAAAGCCAATCACTTCTCCTTGCACCATCACTACTACAACCACCCCTTCCATAGACTGCTAACAACCCAGTCTGGGCATCTCAATCGTTCTCTACATTGCAGTTTAACAGATCTTTCTAAAACATAAATTTGATCTCTCCAGGTCTTAAAATCTTTGGGTGGGTTTCTTGCTGCCCTTGGGGCCAAGTCCCAGGCCCATAAAGCCCTCTGTGTATGTCATTGCCTCTCTAAGTACACCTCTTTCCAGCAGTCCCCAAAGTGTAAGTAGAACTTCAAATACCTAGCCGGGTGTGGTGGAGCATGTAATCCCAGCAGCTTGGGAGGCAGAGGCAGGAGGATCTTGAGTTCAAAATCGGCCTCAGCAAAAGCGAGGTGCTAAGCAACTCAGTGAGACCTTGTCTCTAAATAAAATACAAAATAGGGCTAGGGATGTGGTTTAGTGGTTAAGTGCCCCTGAGTTCAATCCCTGGTACAAAAAAAAAAAGAACCAACTTCAAATACCTCCCTCAGCTTAGGACCCAGACTAAGAAATTCCTCTTAGGGGAAGCCTTTTCTGGCTAAGCTTCCTCCTCCATAACCCTGAGCCTCACCTCACGCACACTCTTTATGGACACTGTTTGGCTGCCTGTCATCCGCGTGGCTGGAGTGCAGGACGTACATGCAAAGTGCCTGTGGGGGTCACCAATGCGTCAGGGAGAAGACAACGAGGTCGCCCTAGGGAGGTAGAAACAGAGCCAGGAACTAGTCCTGGAAGCCAGAGAGTGTATGTGAGGGTGTTCCGCTGCGTCAGCGAGGCCCGAACCGCCCTTGGGAAGAGGAAACCAGGGTCTAGCGCGCCAGCGTCAGCTGCTCTCGCTTCCCACCAAGGGGCATTGAGCATTCAGAGCTATAGGACCTGGCGGGGGTCTCAGGATTGGGCCTTAATCGGCCGCCCTCACTAGGCGGCCTCTTCTCAGGCATCTGCAGTCGGAGCGGAAGAGGAGGACACAGCGTTGATGCCAAGGAGTGCCAAGTGCAAGGTCCGCGGCCCGGCAGGAAAGGCGGCCTTCACTGTGCGCAGACTCGCCGCCCGGGGTGTGAGGGGTGGGGCCTGGACGATTGAGGGGCGGGGTCACGCCCTTGGGCCCGCCTTCTCTAGCGCCTGTGAGCTGCCGAGTGCGCGGTCCCCGCGTTATTCTGGGGGCTTCAGGTGAGCGGGGACATAGAGGGATCAGGGAGGCCTCCCTCGAGGTCTGTTGGTTTGACTGCAGGTCCATTTGTCCTGCCGTCTGCCCAGAGCAATCTTCTCGGAGAATGGGCGAACAAAGGGAGGGGGCGGTTCTGGGGCCCCTGAGGGAATCCAGGGTCCCAGGTACCCCGCCCCTCCCGCTGACACTTTCGGTTTCTCCCCGAGTCATAGGCGCCGCCCAAGAGACCCTGGGCCGGCGCCGGGCGCAGCTGCCTCTCTGCGTTTGCCTGTCCGTCTTTGTGTCTGTCTCTGTGTCTCTCTGGCTGTCTCCGAGCTTGCCTCCACTTCCAGAACTAAGTCGCCCCGACACCTCCATCCTGCGAAAACCCGACCCTTTCCCATGTCAGGTAAGTGGGCGCGAGGTGGGGGTCTCCGTTATCCCCCGACAGACTTGGGCACCGGGTGTCGAACACATCCTCTAGGAATGTGCTCAGACTGGCTGTGCGGGCCCTCCCGGGTAGCCACCGCCCTGCTCCCCTACCCCATCTTTCTCCGCCTCTTCCTACCACATTTTCCGCGGAGCCTCGCGGCCCTCGGGCTAAGAAAGGGCGGGGGGGGGGGGGCTCACGGTGCTTTCTAATCTACCCCTGTCTTTCACAGGCTACTTGCCCCCCAAAGGCTATGCCCCTTCACCCCCACCTCCCTACCCTGCGAGCGCTGGGTACCCAGAGCTGGCGCTGCATCCTGGACCCGGGCAGGCGCCAGTGCCTGCCCAGGTGCCAGTGCCTGCCCAAGTGCCTGCCCCTGCACCAGGCTTCGCTCTCTTCCCTTCGTCTGGCCCGGTGGCCCCAGGGTCTCCTGCCCCTTTCTTGCCACTGCCAGGGGTTCCTTCTGGCCTTGAATTCTTGGTGCAGGTAAGTGGAAGGGAGAGTGACGGAAGAAGAACTGGGCATTCAGGCCAGCCGTTTGATGTCAATGCTATCCCTACTCTTTCCAGATTGATCAGATCTTGATTCATCAGAAGGCTGAGCGAGTGGAAAGTAAGTAGAAATCCGAGGCAGTTGAGCATGTTATCATGGCAGGGATGGTAGGTTCCTGGACGGGTGATGTGCATAAACCTCAGCTTGTTACCTTTGACAGCTTTCCTAGGCTGGGAGACCTGTAACCGGTATGAACTGCGCTCGGGAGCTGGGCAGCCCCTGGGTCAGGCGGCGGAGGAGAGCAACTGCTGCGCCCGTCTGTGCTGTGGCGCCCGCCGGCCACTGCGTGTCCGCCTGGCAGACCCTGGGGACCGAGAGGTCCTGCGCCTGCTCCGCCCGCTCCACTGTGGCTGCAGCTGCTGCCCCTGCGGCCTCCAGGAGGTGGGCGGTGAGGGATGAGACCTGGGAGAGGCTCCAGTCGGGGGCGGGCCTTGATGGGACCCACCAGGGTGGACCCACGTGAGAGTGAATGCTGTGGGTGGGAACCTTAGTGAGGGGACTAAGTAGTAGTCTGAAGGTAGAGCTGAGACCAATGAGGGCTTAAGCCAGGGTCCTGGGCTCGGCAATGATTCTAACTGCCTTCCACTCCAGATGGAAGTACAGGCTCCGCCCGGCACCACTATTGGTCACGTGCTACAGACCTGGCATCCCTTCCTCCCTAAGTTCTCCATCCAGGATGCTGATCGCCAGACAGTCCTGCGAGTGGTGGGGCCTTGCTGGACCTGTGGCTGTGGCACAGACACCAACTTTGAGGTATTAGAAATAAGGGAAGATTCCTGGGAACTTCATAAACCAAGATGGCAGCTTCCATGAGGCAAGATGGCTTGACTAAGACCAAGCCCTTGACTTCATCAGTCCAAATCTATTGTTGCTCCTACTGTACACTTCCAATTTCCCTCCATTCAGAAACGGGATAGCCCTGTGGTTTTAATATAAAAGCACAGCAAAAAGGATTTCATCCTCAAGAGCAAATCTGATTGTTAATTACAACCCTGTATTTTGTGTGCATGTGTGGAGGGGGATCCAAGGCCAGCCTGGATTTAGGGTGAAGGATGATTATTAAGTCTGTCAGGGACTGGGCCCATGTGGCTGGTATGCATGAGTCTGTGATCCTATTCTCCGGAGCAAGCCTTGATTTAGTATCCCAGCTTGCCCTGCTGACCTTGAAGTCCAAATGACCCATCTGACATGAAGTCTAGGTTATGCCTTTTCTCTGTCCCTATCACCAACCTGAAGCCTGGAAAATTCAAGTGGCGAGAATTTCAGGAGGCCTGGGAAAACATCTTGGTTTCTAGAAGACAAGAACATTCCACAGTCCCCTGAGTTCTTTAGGGGATAATTTTCTGTGCGGATAAGAATAAAATAACAGGTATCATCCCATAGACTTTCCAATGCTTCTGATGAGGTGCTTTACCTCCTAAGGTAACTTTTAAAAAGTGAATCACCTTGATAGAGGAAGTTTCTGTGATGGGAACCAATTTAGGAGGAGACAATTGTGTGATCTCTGTATGGAAATGTGTAAAATGTGAGGTTCTTATAGGTCCAGTGTCCCTTTTACGCCATTATAAATGGTCCATACTTGAAGCTGTTTGACTTTGAGACTGTTTGACCAGCTGGGACAGACCTTGCCCAGCCTGAGCCTGGGCCGCAGGAAGTGTTCCAGAGCTGTAGGATAGAAAGGAAGGGGATGGACAGGATATAAAAGGAAATCACTCCAGTTCTAGTCACTGGAGACTAAGCATAAAAAGGACCAGGAAGTCACTATGAATTACCACCCATTTGTCAAGATTGTTTCTTCTGGGATCAAAGAAGTCTATGGAAATCATGGACCCAGAGATCCATAGGCTTGGATCTCTGTAGATTAAGCTCAAATTCAATCCTGGACAAGGCACAGCCCTACTTCGCAGATTAAAATCACCTTTGGGCAGACATAGCTTTCTAGGAGCTTGCTTGACTAGTAAAGTACACCAAGATTTTGTCATCCTTCTTTGCCATCTCAGCCAGGCTACTTTGTGCAGGGTACAGACTGTACTGTGGGTTTCTGGGACACTGGTAATCAAAGAAAATCTAGCAATTAGTTAAACACTAAGTGGATTTTGGGCTTCTATTTCCTCCCACCACTGATGTCCAGGTGTGGCCTCTAGAGAACAACAGATGTGAGTCTAAATCTTGATTTTCCCTATGTATTTGTAGCGTGACCCAGGGTACCTCAGTTCCCCCAGCTTCTATAGAAACCCAAAGCTCTTAGCAAGATTCACAAAGTGTAGAGCCTGTACAATACATACATGGCAACTGTGGGAGTGAGATTTGAGGCAACTGAGATTGGTTGCATCCTCCCCAGTTGGGTCTTTCTCCCTCCAAACAGGTGAAGACTAGGGATGAATCCCGCAGTGTGGGCCGCATTAGCAAGCAGTGGGGAGGACTGCTCCGAGAAGCCCTCACAGATGCAGATGACTTTGGCCTACAGTTTCCACTGGATCTGGACGTGAAGGTGAAGGCTGTGCTGCTGGGAGCCACATTCCTCATTGTGAGTTGGCTATCTCTGCCCCTTCTGCCTCTCATTTGCTGTTATGTGAAGCTTTGTGCACTTCCTCGCCTTTCTAGGAGGTTAGAGACAAATGTTATGGGGGGTTGTGGGTCCAGACCTGGGTTGTGATGACTGAGCCAGATGGGCTCAGCCAGATCTCCTGTTGACGGTGGCCTTTCCTCAGGACTACATGTTCTTCGAGAAGCGAGGAGGCGCTGGGCCTTCTGCCATCACCAGTTAGAGGCTGCCTCTGGGTGAGGAGACCATCGCCTCAACAAGAATTCAAGATGGTCCCCTGCCCTGGCCTGGCCCCTCCTCAGAGGCAGCCCCTTTCTTCCACGTACACTGCAGGGAACAGACATGGGTGCCTGAGTGGCTGGGGGCATGATGCCCTATCCTTACCCTCTCCCCTGGCCTCCTTCACCTGTGGCTCTGCAGAAGGGTGTGTATGAGAGCCCTACCCTGCTGTCTCCTACCACTGTCTCCCAGCAGTCCCTTTGCACACAGGCTTTCAGACTGTCCCTACCCACTCCTTCCCAACTCCTTCCAGGGTCTCTGTACCAGAAGTGGCCTTTGGAACCCAGGGCTTGGATTTTACAACAGGGCTGGCAGGGGAAGAGCAAGTAGCACCAAAGATGGCAGATATACCACTCTTCCCCTGTATCAGCTTGGCCAATTCAGCATTAGGCTGAACTGGCACTTTGAGGGGATTCCTAGTTCCCCGCCAACAGCTGTAGAGGCTGGGCTCCAGTGCCAACTTCCTTTCTCCCTCGGGCCCTGCCCATAGCTGGTGCTTGCTGCAGCTTCCTGTGCCTTATTTAACCTCCACCCCCTTCCTTCCCTTGCCTAGGAAGGAGGCTGCACCTTTGTATGTTGTATTCATATAAACTTTGTAACTTTTTGAACATTTGAAGATGTATGTAATGGGGGAGGGTAGAAGAAAGAGTTGATGTGGGAAAAAACAAAGGGAACTATCTCCTATTCTTCAAGGATCAAATATCCTTAAGTCCAGGAGGGCAATTTTCATTACCGATAATGGGGAGGACTGTTTGAACCATATGCCCCAAGTCAATATGGCTGCTTCCACTATCTTGGCCCCACAGAGTCCAGTGAGGTAGCTAATAACACTTCAGGATGGCTATTCCCATGGTCCAGTGTGATGCCTTGATCACTTTCTGTTGTGATGAGAGGCATCCTTTGGATAAGACATGTTCCAGCTCTTTTCCTTCTAAATCCTCCTCTTCTTTGGGAGTGTGGTGGACTTGATCCTTCTTGAACCAGCCAAGGGAGCTTAGGCCCTCAGAGGCCAAGGAGCAGGGTATGGAGGAAACATTTGTCAGTGACCAACTGTGTGCTCCCCTGGACATTTCCTGTATCTGCCTATAGCAAATGGGATCTCCCAAGGTGGGAAAGTCTGCTCCTGTCAAGACCTTATTCTGGTTCTGCTTAATCTTACATGGCAGGCCCTGAGGGGCCAAGGCATTCTGTGCTGGTGTCCATGGCTAAGACAGTAGAGCTCAGGACCGGGCCAGGACATAACGACTGGCAGCAGAGAGGTCCCACTGGTAGTGCTCCAGGATGCGCCAACAGTCCATTCTAGACCGGCTACTCAGGTGGAAGAGTTGGTCTACCTGAAGGATCAACAGGGAGGGAGCTGAATGACAGATAGGAGGGCAGGAGAAGAAGGAGCCTGGGAGAAGGGTCTGGCTTTACCTTGAGGTTCCGGATGGCAGAAACAACATCTCCCCCAGTGGCTTTTAGTGCTGCTTGGCACTCCTGGTGAGTGACTCCATGCACGTTCAGCTCCATCTGTGGGGACAAAACTTCACTCAAGTTCCTGCCCTATTCTCTAGGCCTTTCTGGACAGCAGGCCCAATTCAGTGAGACCTCACCTCTGTAATTTTCCTCTGCCACTCAGGGTCAAGCAAGAGGCCTCCAGAGGAGACAGTGGCTTTACTGGCTCCAGGCACTCCAATGCGGTGATTGTGTGGGGGTTCTCTTTTGGGCCAAGGAGGTCGTTCCCTAGGGGGCTGGCTGGGCTGAGAAGAGTTGGAGGTAAAAGGCAGGCGTGGAGGCAGGCCTGGGGGTCCTTGAGGCACAGCTCTTGCATGTCGAAGTTCAGGGGGGCTTGAACCACCCCCTGTAGGGCGAGGGCCCAAGGACAGAACTGACTCCAAACTCTTGGAAATACCTGCACAGTTAAGAAAGAAACTTGAGAGGAGGCTCAGGTGCTAGGTCCCACCTTCTTCCTGCTTTCTATCTTTGTTTTGAGCTGGATGGTTTTATAAGAACTTTCAGATGAGCTAGTTGAACTTGACCATGTATATAGGTAAGATGATAAAAGACATATACAAGTGAGCATCAAGACCTAGGCAGCTGAGGGACCAAAGACCAGAGAACTCAAAGGTCAAAGTGGGGAAGGAAGGAGGACTTCAAATCTCTTAAGATCTTCAATTATCGGAGCTGGGGTTGTGGCTCAGTGGTAGAACACTTGCCTAGCATGTGTGAGGTACCGAGTATGATTCTCAGCACCCCATGTAAATAAATGAACAAAACAAAGGCCCATCAATGTCTAAAAAAAAATATTAAAAAAAAAAAAGATCTTCAATTGTAGCTGGCCACTATGGCATATGCCTGTAATCCCAGCAACTCTAGAGGCTGAGGCAGGAGGATTGCAAGTTCCAGGCCAGCCTCAGCAACTTAGCAAGGCCCTAAGCAATTGCACAAGACCCTGTCAAAATAAAAAGGGAGGGGGATGTAGCTCCGTGGTCAAGTGCCCCTGGGTTTAATCTTTAGTATCAAAAAAAAAATCAAGTATAGCTAGAATTACCACCGGCAGAATTTGAAGGAAGAAATCATGTATGCAAAGGCATGAATCCTGCATACCCACCTTTCATCCTCTGCAAGGGTGCCTTCCTTCTCTGGCCCCATGCTGGAGGTAGATCCCGAGGCTTTGCCTTCTCTCTGTCCCTGTCAGAGAATAATCCAGTTCATCCTCCATACCTCCTCCACATACATATTATCAATGTCACCTCCTAAAGAAACTGGTGCTCCCAGGCATGCTGAGACCTAGGGTGGAAACTCCTCCTGGGAGACAAGTACAGCCTGTCTCTAGTTTGTCCTAGTCGTATTCCTAAGTTTCCCATTCAGAGAAGTTGCTGTACATAGCCCATTCCCCTAGTCCAGCCTAGCGCAGTTCTATCCCCAGCCTTTCAGCTCCTTACCCATCTATGCTTCCCCTGTGTTGCTCTCCTCGGGCTGGAGAGCCTCTGTGGACTGGGCGGGTGGCTGGAGAGCCCCCCAAGTCTGCCAGCGTCACTGCTGAGGCTGGGAAACTGCCCACTTTAAAGGTGCGTCCATTCTGTCCCTTCCAGGTTGTGGAATCTGGGCTGTGGGAAGAGAAGCTGGTGAAGGGGATGTAAGCAAGGGGAAAAGTGGCAGCTAGGCTTGGGCACATTCAGCTCACTATGCCTTGTGGCTTCTTCTGCCTGGAGGAAGGGAAGCCTTTTTCTCACCAACACAAAAGGTTCTCTATGGGTCAGCTGGGGCTCCAGCAGGGAGACTGGGACTGCACTGGAGCTTAGGGCCCAGCAGGGAAGGGAGAAGACACAGAAGACCAGGGTTCAAGGAGTTAGAAAGAAACAGAGAAGGGACCAAGAGTCAAGAAGGCTGGGAGTGGGTGCCTCCCCTGGGGGTCCCTGGGGAGTGCTAGGCTGTCACCTGCCCTCAATGATAGTAATGGGGTCACCGGGCTCCATCCGCAGGGCTCCTGGCTCTGTGACACTCCTCACGCAGCATCCTTCAGAAGGCCAGGCCTGTGAAGACAGAAGGAAACAGCTGGGCTTTTGGCCTGAGTCAAAAGGGTAATATGGGAGCAGGGCAGAAAATAGACCTCCCTCTGTTTATATAGCTACCAGTCATACCCATACCAGGTGTGTCCTCTGTGCTGGGTTCCAGTGGGATTATCCCTACCTCTCAGGTGTAACCCAGTGGGGGAGGCCAGTCTGGATTCCATGCCAAATTGGACAAAGCCCAGGGTTCAGAAAGCAACAAAGGAAAGCCCTGTCTCTGCCTAGGGGGACCAAGGGGACGGCCATCCTGTTCACCACTTTTATCCTACACTCAGGCCCATCAGGTTGGCCTCCTAAGGCACCTCTGCAAAATTTCCACTCCTCTCCAGTCCTACTGCTTTGACCCTTACCCTGACCTCTTCATCTCACTTCTGTTTCACACTCTTTGTCAGTGTCATCCCTCTAAGTTATTCCTGGACCAGGCTAAAGTGAAATATTGTTGACTTGTGATTCCCCTGTTCAACACCCAAATGCCCTCAGAGTGAAGACTAAACCCCTTTAATAGTAGAATGTGGTGATTTAGGGAAAAGCTCAGAAGTCACATTAATTAGAGCTGATCCCAACTCCTCGGCTTCTTGTGTAACTTCAGGCAACTTCTAAATTGTCATTGCCTCAACTGCCCCATCTCTTAAATGGAGATAAATAATTACCTCATGGTATTATTGAGAGAACTAAAATACTGAACAGGCATAAGGATACCTGTAAAGTATCCTTAAATACAGTATCTCACATAGATCAAGTGCTCTTTGTAGTAGCAGTGGTCCTCAACATGCCCTAGGAAACGCTCCATAATGCTCACCTCTGTGGCCTCATTACTTCCTTTTCCCCTCCCACGTGGAACCTCTCTTCCTTTGCTTGTAAAACGCCCATGGAGGGGGTGGGGAATGACCTGCCGCTTGCTCTCCTCAGTGCCCCCTTCTCTGGCTTAGACAAGGACTCCAGCCCTTCAGCCTGCATCTGAGTAGCCACGCCTCCACCCGCCCCTCCCCCACCCTCCTCCGGGGCTCTGAATCTGTTTTGTTTACAGCTGGGTCCCACAGCCCTACGTAGACCTGCGGATATGTTAGTTTTTTTAAACCCACCTTGCTAGAGATTGACCCCAGGACCTCATGCATATTAGGCAAATGCTTTACCACCAAGCTATACTCCCAGCCTTTTAAAATTTTTAACTTTGAGACTGGGTCTGGCTAAATTGTTCATATTGTTCTCTTAACTCTTGTGTTCCTCCTGTCTCAACCTCCCGGGTCTCTGGGATTAGAGGTATGCACCACAGCCACCTGGCTAGGTGATATTTGTCTAATGTATGAAATCCTGAGAGAGAGAATGAAGGAAAGAGAGACTGGATCTGGGGAGTTGCAGGTCCCCACCTCTTGCAGCAACCCTTCCAGGCAGGAAAAGCTAGGCCGGTCCGCAGGGTGAGGGGCCCAGCAGCGTAAGGCGAGGGAGTAGAGGGCCCTGGAGCACAGGGGAGGCCTTGGAAGCCGAGCTCGGTCCTTCTCCAGTCGCTGCAGGATGAGGTATGGTGGAACCCCAGCCCAAGGTTCCTCACCCCCAGAGAACATCTCCCACAAGGTCACTCCAAACATCCACACATCAGAGGCTGACGAGAAGGCTCCCTGGCGCAGGCTCTCTGGGGCACACCTGCGGAAGTGGAAGTTGATGGGGGCTGGACATGTATACTTGGGAGTTTGCCTCTCGCTGGGCACCCATCCCCTTGATGCACCTACCCGCTGGATGCTCCCATCATCACTTCCTTGCCCTCCCAGACCCCACTATCCCTCTGACTGCCCTAGGCCTGCAGTTCTTCAGATCTTCCTCCCAGGCTCCAGTCTGACCACCCACATGCGTTGCTCTCACCAGGCATAGGGGATAGGGCGGGGCCCGCCCATGACATAGCGGCCCCGGGCCCCGCCCAGCGGCCGCACCAGCCCGAAGTCTGCCACCTTGATAGTGCGTGGCGAGGCCAGCAGCAGGTTGCGTGTAGCAAGGTCCCGGTGTACCAGTCCACGGGCCCCCAAGTACACCATGGCTCCAGCTAACTGCCGCAGAAAAAGACACAGCAGGGCCACTGGCAGCGGGGGTGTTGGGGCCGGCTCTGTCAGGCGCGCGTGTAGGGAGCCCAATGGTGCCAGCTCCATCACCTGCCAGAGCACAGCACAGTGTGAGCCATGGTCTGGCTCCACTGGCCTCTCCTGTCACACATCATTCCCAAGGCTGTTCAGAGAACCAGCGTCTGGATCGGCTCACCATCTGCAGAGGCTGACCCAGTACAAGGCCATGCAAACGCAGCACATGTGGGTGCTCCAATTTCATCATGACAGATACTTCTCGCAGGAAGTCTCCCAGCTCTGTGCCCATGGGACCTTCGGGACCTACCCGGAGGGACTTGACAGCCACTGGGATCTGGAGGTGGGGGGAGGCATCATCATGTACCAGAGGTAATGACTATGCCAAGGCCAGAGCCTAGAGGGCTTAAAGATCAAAGGAGTATGGAGGGGGAGTGGAGGGAGGGCCCAAGGCCATGGCACACTTGTAATCCCAGCAATTCGGAAGCTGAGGCAAGAGGATCACAAGTTTGAGGGCAGCCTAGCAACTTACTCTGTCTCAATATTAAAATAAAAAGGACTGGGAATGTAGCTCAGTGGTAAAGCACCCCTGGGTTCAATTCCCAATAACCTCCCCCCTGCCAAAAAAAAAAAAAGAAGATACGGATGAGGGACAGCTGGCCCAGTTATTCTGGATGAAGTAAACTCCCAAACACTCACACTCTGGCCACTGGGCAGTGTCCACAGTCCTCGATGTACCACGCCAAAGCAGCCTGAGCCCAGCAGCTCCCTTCTGCACACAGCATCCTCTGGGATCAGACACTTGAGTCTCCCTTCTGGCTCAGAGAGGCATGGAAGGCTGTCTGAGGGTCGGATGGTCTCTTTCTGCTCAGGGGCAAAACTCCCAAGAATCTGAAACAGGAGTGGGAGGTCAGGGTTACAGAACCCTGCATAAGCCTTCCTGCCACTCAGCCAACCCATTCCCTGGCCTAAGCTGGCCGTTTAAGGCCCTCAAATACCACCATCACCATCACATACCTTGTAAACCCAGTTCTTAGACTTGACTCCCAAACGGTGTCTCTTCAGAGCTTCAGCCAGTCTGCGCTGGGCTGTAGGAAGCTAGAATCAGAAGGCTGGCCCCAGGGTGAAGCAGGGTACATAGAGTATTATAGACAAGAAGAGGCCTAGGGTGTGGGGGAGTGGCAATTGATAGGCCAGGGAAGGAGTAACCAGGACCTCAGAACAAGGGTTCCTTACCAGGCCGGCCCATGCCAATGCCATCCAGGTCCTCAGGCTTTACAAAGTCAAAATGCTCTGGCCGAGTGACATTAAGCTCCTCAAGGATGGGCCGATAAAACTGGGCCAGCTGGATATCCCGGAGCAGCCGCAGTAGCCACAGGGAACCGGCCTCAGGAAGCATGTCTGGAGAAGGACCCCTATGGATGATGATACTCTTTCAGATAGAGCCTAGGGTAGGAACCTTAGACACTGAGACTAGAGACTAGGTCTCTAGTGCCACCCTTAACACATCAGAAACAAGTACAGAGGAAGAAACACATCAGAGAATTCCAGGAACCCTGCTACTTACACACACGAACCCCAGATAGGATGTTCCCCATCTGAAAAGCTCAGGGTACTTTACACTCTCACTACTGAGAAAATTGCCCTCTTACATCTAAGATTTCAAAACACTGCCTACACTACAGCTGAGTCCAGGTATGCCACTGCTCTCACCCCAAAGATATTATGCCATACTGCGCCTGTACCCCAGGATACTCAAACACATTGCTACTTTAGAAATGAGCTACACTACTCGACAGTCACACATATACACCTGAGACTCTCCTCCTCATACATGAGACACTTTTGCCTACTACCCACATTCTAGAGATGCCCAGATATGTGAATCACACCATACCTCAAAGATGTAGGTACATATACATGTGCATGCAGTATGCTGCTATGGACACATGTCCTGAGACCGACAGATATGTTGCAAATCATACTTCAGGTGTCTCTCAACTCCGAGATGTTCCAGTATGTTGTGCCCATATTTAGGGCTACATACCCTCTCACATAAATGAATTTGACACACAGCAATTCACTGCCCCCACACATGGAAGACACCCAGATACACCCCCCCCACATGTCTGAAACACCTAGGACTACATAAACACACACAACATCAAGTCACAGTGTCCTTAAATACCTGATTTATGCAGGCATACTGCTTCCTCACCTCTGCAATGCCCAAGATCATGAACTCAGACACCAAGACAGCAACATTTGAAATCAAGTCAGGCCTTTGTGCTGGGCGACTAAGTTCAGGTAGGTGCTAAGCTCCCCTACTGCCCACAGAGCCACCTAGGCTGCCAGGTGCACAGTCCTTGCACACCCACCAAGTACAGAACACTGCCGCACAGCTACGTCACCCAGGCTAATGTGACTTAGAGGCAGCTCCACCAGCCTTTGTTAAATAAAGCTCTAGGTGCTCTGGCTGCCTGCACACAAACTCACACACAGCCAGACCCCTCTACCCCCACTTTAGTTTTAAGCAAGAAATGGGCTAGAAATTGGGCGCGAGCAGGGGTGGGGAAGGAGACCGCTCAGGACGAAAGACCCAGCAGTGAACAGAAGGTGAGAAGGTAGAAGCGCAGAACCCGAGACTGGGGGAAACACTAAGCAGGAAGGACCTGGGGATTGGAGAGGAGGCCCAGCACCCCGCGGACACACCCCAAGCGCCCCACGCGGAGACTCCCCTGTTTGGTGTGGACCCTCACCTGGCGAAGGCGGAAGCGACTGCAGCGGAGCCGCCCAGGTTGCCAGCACTAAATCCTGAAAAGGGCGGGACCCGAGGCAGCGGAGGGCGGGTCCTGGCAGCAGGCCCGGGATAGATTCCTGCTGGCACAAGGCGAGAGTGGCCAGGGTGACTGGGGGCCCCTCCCTTCTGCAGCCAGGTCAGCCCCCAGACCATGAGAAATCTCCCTTCGCCTGCCTTTCCTCACACTCTCTACCCAGCCTTCTCCAAAGAACTGTCTATCCTTTCTAGAACATTTTCCCCTGGGACCTGTCCCTTATGCCCTCTCCCCCCAAATCCTTGACCTCTCTCAACCAGGACCCACCCCTTAAATGAGTAAGCAACTGCTAGATATACCCTGCCCGGAGCTGGGAATGTAGGCTACACAGCACATTGGCACTGCCCTATAACAGGAGAGAGATCCCTGAGAAGCTTTAACAGGTCAGGGGAAGCCAGGCCAGTTCAGGGTGCTTTGGAATGGAGCCAGGGCACAGGGATGTTGATGTTGGTCCAAAATCAGCCTCAGTCCTAGACAGTCTAGAATTGAAGCTGTTGTTGAAACTGGGCAGCACTCCAGGCCTCAGGGACTCCTTTCTTATTACTGACTCTTCCTGAATAACATCTACGCACCCCTAACCCCATTGTAGCCTCTGCCCACTCCAGGGCTCTGTACCCTGCCACCAGGCCTGTGGCCACAGCAACACTATCTGGAACCTTGAAAAAGGCTTTAATGAGGAGCATGCTCACTCCGGTTTACCTCAGGGGTCCAAAAGAGGAAGCTGCCAATCTTAGGACATCTGACTTGCCTCCTGTCCCAAGGAAGGATGTATGAACACAGCACTTGCTGTCCCCTGGGTCTCAGAGGGAAAAGCCCTTCTCATATTGGCACACACATGGGATATTACAGCATCAATGGGAAAATCTTTGTAATGCCGTTTTGTGTATATTGTTTTCTTGCCAATTCTTTTGCCCTCCAACCAGACCAGCTTAGCACACTGTAATTGTTCTTTCTACTTTTGCCAACATTAATGTATTGTGAGTTATGGTAGGGGCTGGTCTGGTCTTATTCATCCTTGTTGATTTTTTTTTTTTTTTTGGTGGGGAAGGGGGTACTACGGGTTGAACTCAGGAGCGCGTTAACAACAAGCTATCTCCTCAGCTACCCCCACACATTTTTTTTTTTGAGACAAGTTCTAAGTTACCAAGAGTCTCACTAAATTGCTAAGACTGGTTTTCCTGTCTCAGCCTCCTGAGTTGCTAGGATTACAGGTAAGCGCCATCTCACCTGGCAATCTTTATGTTTTAAGTGCCTGTGAGTGTAGACATATACTACACACAATGTATATTGGTTATAAAGAAGTCTGCTAAGTCTAATCAGGTCTGATGATCTTTGTAGATGATCTGTCATTATTTCCTGCTTTTCAAGATATCATTGGTGGGGGCTGGGGTTGTAGTTTAGTGGTAGAGACCTTTCCTAGCATGGGTGAGGCACTGGGTTCAATCTTCAGCACAACATAAAAATAAATAAATGTATTGTGTCCATCTACAATTATTATTATTATTTTTGGTACAAGGGATTGAGCTCAGGGTACTTAACCTCTGAGACAGATCCCCACCCCCCTCTTTTTTAATATTTATTTTTTAGTTTTCAGCGGATACAACATCTTTGTTTGTATGTGGTGCTGAGGATCGAACCCGGGCTGCACGCATGCCAGGCAAGCGCGCTACCACTTGAGCCACATCCCCAGCTCCCCAGCGTCCTTTTTAATATTTACTAGAGACAAGGTCTCACAGAGTTGCTTAGGTCCTTCATAAGTTGCTGAGGCTGGGTTTGAACTCAGGAAGCTGAGTCAGGAGACTCGATTCTCCTGCCTCAGCTTCCTGAGTTGCTGGGATTATAGGTGTGTGCCACTATGCCCAGCTAAAAAATTTTTTAATAAAAAATAAAATAAAAAGGGCTAAGGATGTAGCTCAGTGGTAGAATACCCCTGGGTTTAATCCCCAGTAACACACACACACACACACACACACAGTATCGTTCCTGTTTTGTACTTTTTAAAAAAAATTTTTTTAAAGAGAGAGAGAAAAATTTTTAATATTTATTTTTCAGTTTTTGGTGGATACAACTTCTTTATTTTATTTTTTTTATGTGGTGCTGAGGATCGAACCCAGCACCTCACGCATACCAGGCGAGCACGCTACCACTTGAGCCACATCCCCAGCCCTTGTACTTTTACATTATATCTAGATACCAACTTCTTTCTATTTCTTTTGCTATGTTGTATTTTCTGTATTATGAATTCACACCTTTCATCAGATTTGGAAAATTCTCAGGCAGTATCTCTTCAAATACAGTCATGTACCGCATAATGATGTTTCAGTCAATGAAGAACACAATGGTGGTCCCATGAGATGATAAGAGAACTGGAAAATTCGTATTGCTTAGTGACATTGTAACCATCATAAAGACTTTTCTTTTATCTTTTACTTTCTTTCTTTTCTTTTTTCTTTTTTGCTGTTGTTTTCAGCACTGAGGATGGAACCCATGGTCTCATATATCATTGGCAAGAGTTTTATCTCAGAACTATGACACCAGCTCTTTTTATTTTGAGACAGGGTCTCACTAAGTTGCTTCGGCTGTCCTTAAATTTGAGATTGTTCTTGCCTCAGCTTCTTGAGTAGCTGGGATTGCAGGCACATGCCACCATGCCTGGCTCACCGATCTGTATTTTGTCTAGTTTGTGAAAGCATACAAAAGGGAATACAAGAGAGAAAAAAGAAAACAGAGCAGACCTCAACAAACCAGAGATGCTTGCTTTATAAAGCAATAGAGGGGCACATTTTCAAGGGAAAATGGTGGTGGGCTCCAACAAAGATCTGGATTTTGTAGGGTTTATCAGGGCCAGATCAAGGGAGGAGTTACTTTTGGCAGGCTCATTTAGGGTGGGGCAAGAGTGCAGGTAGGGAGAGTGCAGGTAGGGAAACAATTGTAGATCCCTGGGGCCTATTGTTTGGGGCTGACTGGTTCAGCTGTAGCTGAGGCAGAAGAATAGTGATTTCAAACCCAGCCTCAGCAACTTATCAAGGCCCAGGTGCAAGTTCCTTCTGTGCTCTTCCCATTATCCCTTCCTGCTGTCTCTTTGGCCTGGGCTCCTAAAGGATAAAAGCTCCCCATATACATGACAGGAGGGTGTTAGGGGGACAGTTGTGGGTAAGGTGTGTGAGGAGATGTCTGTCATGTGATGTGGCACAGTGGTTGAGTGCCCCTGAGTTCAATCCCTGGTACCAAAAAAAAAAAAAAAAAAAAAAAAATCTACTATATATCCAGACATTCAACTTTAGATATTTTTTCCAACTTTATGTATTTAACTTTAAATATCTAAATATCTAACATCTACTACATTATCTAGACATTGAACTTTAGATATTTATTCACTCAACCACTGTGCCACATACCGCAGACATCTCCCCACATACATGACAGGAGGGCGGGTAGGGGACAGTTGTGGATAAGGGAAATTGCAAAAGGTCAGAGTCCTCAGTTTCCTTCCCCCCACTACCCCCAGGGGTTGTAAGTTTCCATCTCCTTCAATTATGCATTTCCTAGAATTAATTAATTAATTAGTAATTTTTAATTTTTCAGTACTGAACATTAAACCTAGAGATCCTGTATTATTGAGCTGCACCCAAGTCCTTTTTATTTTTTTATTTTGAGACAGGCT